GAGCCGTTCACAGCAAAGGGCAGTCTCAAAACCAGTGCCTCACCTTGAGTGTCAGCCGGGCGACATAAACTCAGAGACATGACGGGCTCTGTGCTTGTATTGAGACGGGGGCCCTTCCAAGCCAGCTCGTGATGCGTCGAAAGCTGCCGTGCCCAGTGACAGGCATCGCATCCGAGGGGCTGCTGCTTGGCATCCCTTCTGCTGTTGCTTTAAACTGTGAACTTTCTTTAGAGTTGTGAGTAAGGATACTGGATACTTCAACCCACTGCGAAGCTTCCCCGCTGATGCTCAAGGCAGGCTATCATTCATATCTTCGCCGGCGATGTCGAGCCAACTCGCATCAATGTGCAGAGTGCAACACAAGGGCTAATAACAAGAACACGAAGAACAAAAAGATAAAAAGGTATTAACAACCAGTTCAATGGAACTAATGATAAGACAACGGCCTATGGCTGGGTTGGTGCCATCCCGGCAGTCCCCGGCAACAAAGCTCCACGGGCTTCCAGCTCCATGAACCACCGAGCAACCTTAGTGGAGATAGCGATATGGGAGTTTCCGAGAATAGGGGACCCTAGTATAGTACCCTCCCTACATTGTAGGATCCTTATTGTAAGGACTCCAAAACAACCTTAATCCTCGCGAACTCCCATCTGAGCGCCGACAGCCTTGCATCTGGGCATAACGGGGATTCTTCCTCGCTGCCAGCACTTCCTAACCTCCCGGCTTCCTTCAAGACACCCCCGCACAGCTCTTTCAAGGGACCTGGCATTGGCCAGGCCCTGGAGAGTAAGGCCAGCCAGCCGCCTGGTGGCCGCTGCCGTGGGAACTGCAAAGACAGGGCCATCCTGGCTGAGCAGAAGCCGAAGGCAGGGCCGTGTTTTCTTGCTCCTTGCAGCCCCACCACAGACTGGTACGTCGTACAGGGTTGGAAAAGATAGAGCGGCTCCGGCTGGGGTGTTGGGAGCGGGACAGTGCGGAAGATTGAAGCCTGGCCGTGCCGGTTATCTTTATGCTACGTAGAACATGATATCATATGAGACAGCAAAATGCAAACTACAGGACACCGCACAATGCCTGAAGACGAAGCCGTGCAGAGGTTCACGCCTGCAGCGTATGGGCGGCTTACCGGCACAAGCCATGACGGCCAGAGAAGTTAAATGCAAAAGGATCACTGGGGGCAGTGCCAGGTTGGAGAGGCCCTGCTCCTGCAGTCATGGATGTTATTATTCCTGTTCTTCTTCTAATGGTCTCACACAAGTCTCCATTGACACTTTCTTACATCTGAATGTCCTGCCAGCCCAGCAACGTTTCTCTTGCCTGCAAGTGTGCGTCAAATTGCTAGAGTTTGACAGACTTTTTCGTTGACGAGAACTTAGACCGGCGATGGCCTGAGCTGCGAGAGCATTGAGCAACGTCGTCTGCCTGTGACTTGGGCTGGCGAAGTTTCGACCTGAAGGGTGTCTGGTCAAAACCAAAAAAAAATCCGAACAGATACTAATATCCATGAGCAGGTTCGAAATGTCAACTCGCCGCTTGTCGTTCCAACCAGTAATCAGTATATAGGCTAAACTGCCGGACTTTGGCACCTGATCAGGATTCCCTATCCAACACGATTTCCCTCAGGCACGCACCACTGTTGGCAGTGTTCTGCTCACTAGACTCCCGAACTCCTGGGTCGCAGCATGACACCAGTCAGCGCCGTAGCCCATGTAACGTCAAGCAGTTCGGCTGCACACGAGACTTCGCGATCTCCACCGTGGCATCCAGCCTTTGAGTCAGATCAGCTGAGTTGCCCAGAGCCCCCCATTTCTCAAACGGACGCAGGATTCAGAAGTTGAGGGTTCTGCGCGAGCCGCTCAGACAGCTCTGGAACAGCTGGTGACCGGACGCTGTTGCTCAGCCCTGGCAGTTGCACAGCCACTGGCTCCCAGAAGGATCCCCCCCCGCTTGCAGAGCCCAGAGCCTTGTGCGGAGGGCCCTGCAGCTTTCGCTTTGCTGCCTGCAGCTGTGGCCGCGAGCCTTGGAAGGGGAGGGGCTGCATGGCGCGTCTTGGGGGATTGACAGTCGGCGACAATCTTTGGTGTTGGAGCAACGAGCGCTGAATGGACACAGCACTGACCACTGGTCACTGGAATACCCCACCTACATCTCGTGAAACTCTCATGAAGGTCGCTCCCTAAGATTGGGGAATCACGCAGTCACATAATGAGTCGCCGGCACTGCTTCGCCCGCCGCGACCGAATTCGCAGAAGCCTGTGAAAGGTGCCCGATTCCCAAGAGCGATTACTGGAACTCTTGCTTTCCCTCGATCGCTATCGTTGTGATTTGTTGTGCTACTGCTGCTGCCGTGTGGGGTTGCCTCCGGTCTACTACTTCCGCTTGGTGCAGCAAGAAATCACTTGAGCCATACCGTCATTCGACTGATCAACGGAAAACACGGCCTTTGCGCGGCAAAAAGGGGCATACTTTCTACAGACCCCCTAAGACTGTCTGTGCGTACTTGTGCTATACATGAGGTTGCCCTGCACGGCAAGGGTGTCTTCATTCGATGCTCTTCCAAGCATCTCTTCCCATATAAACCTGTTTTTTGTGTGGTGTATCCGGTTCCGCCGAGGCTTGCCGACGCTTTTTGCCGCACTGTCTTCTAGTGGCACTATAAAACCGATACCTGGCCTAATGGAAGTGGATATCCGAATTGTGTGTTTTGAAAAGGATACGATTCACTTTTTGCTTTACTGGCAGGCTCCCTACGATATTTAACAGTCCTGGTTGGCAGGCGGCCCTTCAGCAAAGTCTACCAGGTAGCTCGCATATTTGATACAGCTACGGCTTCCAGCCGTTTGCTGGAGGATGTCGCGCTGCGCTGGGGCAGTACATTCTCGAGGTACCACCGAATGGACAGTCCAGATGCTTCCAAGATGTGCAGCAAAGGTAGACGGCCTGCCACAGGTTCGCCAAGCTTTGAGCTGAAAGCCCAGTCATTTTCTACCTGCTTCCAGTGGCGCCGGCAAGGGTTGCTAGGATTCTGGTGGGATTTGTTGAAGCTCACGATTCTGACTGACATCATTGACCCGGCACTGGGAGTCGGTACTACAGATACTACGACTACGACGACGACTACGACTACTACAAGTCAGTACTAGCACTATAATACTAGTGCCAGTATCAGTGCCAGTGCACCACCAGAACTAGTACCAGTTCCAGTGCCGGTACTCGTACTACCACTGCTACGGCTACTACCACCACTACTACGACGACTTCTACTACCACCAGTTCGACCACTGCTGCGTCACATGGGACCGCAACTCTGCATTCAGCAGCACGGGCGGCCCCGAGGTGGAGGTGTAAGAAACAATGCCCTGAGGGCGCTGCACTGCCGTCGCGATGGTTGCACTCAGGAACTTGCTGTCCCTGGAAAGAATGGCGACGAGACTCCGGGTGCACAAAGCGACACTCACATCTGTTTCGGATCTGTAGCTCTGCGGACTGCGTGATCTGCCAGCACCGTTATGGACACACGGGCATAACCAAGTCAAAATATTGGAAAGGAAAGGGTACATGCATAGAGCACAGTGAACAGCTGGCACCAACTGAAGCAGCAGCTGGCTCACAGGAAGGACTAGACCGAGGCCGTAGCATGCGGGATCATGTTGAAAAGTTGAACCGGCAACATGCAGACTTTATTGCTCTGTATGGTCTTAGTCAAGATTTTCCCCATCCTACCTAGCAATGACGAAGCCCGCATTGAAGAACTCCTTAAGATGAGGGCCTACGGCAGTGTATAGTGGAAACCCGGTCCAGCACCCAAAAAGTTATCTGACCACAAGCGTGTCTGAGAGAAAAGCACCGTGGCATAGAAGTCTAACAAACAACTAGCATCAACTTTACCTAGGTAATGCAGAGACAGCGGGCAAGAATGGGAAACAAGTCCTCTGCCCACTTTATTATCATGCCGACTAAACTGTATCATGTTTGGACAGAGGTATTGTAAGATAACAGCTGATTTCAGGCTGTGAGGCATTGTACATATGACACCTTCCAAGTTTACCAGCCTGTGGCAGGCCGTCGCAAGTTTCCACCTGCACAAGCCGGAGGTTCAAACGCAGCTCACATAGGCCAGAACTGCTCCACGGTTTGGTTTAGGGCGAATGTGAGCATCTCACTTGCCCATCAAAGCCGGCATTACGGCGGGCAAAACCTTGCAAATCGCATCAAGCATGGGACAGGAGTCTGAGGCCCCATGTTAAGCCACAAACTGCATGGTAACGGACCTATCGCATTCGTCTCGGCCCTGCTTGATGTTTGAGATGCATGAATTCCGCCTGGCACGGTCCGTAGGCCCTGTATAGCCTCCTGCGACCGCTTCGTTCGTCTAGGCTAGACACCTTCCGTGCCGAGAATGCCCTGCTTTTCTGGCATCCGATAAACTGCCCAAAAAAAAGTGCTGGACAAATGAGCGAATGAGCAGACGTCAGGTTGCGTCGAGGACTTCTGGCCACATCTTTGAAGGCCTGCAAAGAAATCAACGCCACGCACCATCATTGAATCATGTCATGCAGCAAAGCGGCACTCCAACAGTCGTTCATCTTATTCGTCTAGCTGGGCTCGCTCTCAGTGTCTCTATCTCCCACTCCCGCTTGCGGTTGTCTTTAGCCGATGTGGACCCTGCTACAGTCTCAAATGCCGTGTCGGCAAAGCTATGGTTGCACTCCCACAGCAAGGCAGTAACGAGAAGCCCGGTAATCACAGCACATAGAACGACCTGAACCCCCTGCACCCTTGCCGACACTCGTAGAATAGGTAGTGCAACACGCAAAAAAGGTGCCTGGGCCTCCACAAAGGGCTTACAAAACAAACTCTCAACTATCGCTTACGGTTTCTTTGCTTCCCACCTAGCTAGGGGCGAGCCCGCAGACGGCTTTTTTCAGGGTTTCGGGGCCTTCATTAATCTCTGTTCGTACATGTCAGCGATCTCCGAGGCTCCGCCTTGGGCTAATGAGCTATTGGCTCTTCTTCTCTTCATACGTTCCGTTCGTGGGGATGCTTTTGCCTCAGCTACGGTCGCGGAAGTCTTTGGACGCACAGACGCGCTTGACCCGACTTGCATGTCTGCGGCTCGGTGTCCAGAAATGGATTGCAATCTGCATGCAGCTAAGACGCCGTTTGTGTGACAGCTTTTGCCGTTCACAGCCACCCCGTTGTCGGATGTCGCACAGGCATCTCCGTTACTTACCTTAAATGTAGATGGTAGAGAAGTTCAGGGCGCGACGAAGTCAACGAATCCCACGTGCCAAACATAATTAGTTTACGGACAATGTCAGATTAGATTAGCAGGGTGCGACCTCAGTGTATCAGTACCCCATGTGTGCTCTGTGTGAACGGCAAAATAACTCTTGCAGCTGAAAGCACGAGAGGCTCAGCTGCCTCATCTTTCAACGGCTTTCCTGCAACAACAATGCCAAACAATGCAAGGGCCTGATTCCCCTCCGCCTTGGCTGTCATCCCCGTATAGTTCTCTTGTAAATACCAAAACCCTTTCTTCCGCCCCTTGTTCTCACCCTTCTTGCGTCCTTGCTTGGACTTGTCCACGCGAAGGGCGACCCAAACCTCAGCACAAACCGCTTTTCTGCCGGTGAGACCCTGGGCAAGCTGCATGCAGACCAGAAGCCGCAGAGTTGCACTTGAAGCCACTGCCGAACGAGATCTGCAAGATTCGCTCCCCGGGATGCAGGTCCTCACTAGAAGCGTCTGGCTGCAAACCCGTCGTTCTGCTTCCTGCTTCCGAGGTACTCCAAATCTCTCAATCCAGTCGGTCTCGTACCAGATTGAAGACGAGGAGGTGTTCCCCCAGTCGTGCAGGGTTTGGACTGACCTCAAACAGCACCGCTATGCACAGCTTGCCATCGTCCTATCAAATACCACACCTGCAAGGCCTGCTGCCAAGGGTCGGTCTGATCTGGCGATCAGAGAGGTTGAGGTTCTGCTGCACGCCTTCTATCACCGCACGGCCACCTGCAATCAGAGACGATCACCGGGAGGTCTCCGGGTATCTTTTGCAAGCCCCACCTGCATGGATGCAGAAGTGATCGATGCCTTAGGATAGGAGGACGCAGGACCCTCTTCCAAAATGGGGAATGGGGACATAACTCTAAGTTCATTTGACTGCAAGGCCCCAAACACCATTCAGATCACCATCATTATAATTATTATTATCATCATTATTACTAATTAATATTATTATTATTATTATCAGCATGATTATTATCACTATTAGTATTATCATTATAATATATATATATATATATATATATATATATACATATATATATATATATACCTACTTACATACATATATATATATATATATATATGAATGACATGTCTCTCTTTCCACCTCCGGCTGAATTCAGCAGGCCGTTCTTCGGCGAGGACAGCACTGGCCGTTCCGTGAAACGCGGAACCTACGGCTCTGCGATAGCCGGCGCCTCACTCGTAGAAGAGCATGCTAGCCGTGTGCCAGCAAGCCTTGGGCGACATTGAACCGAGGCTCTGGGCTTCGAGGCTTCGAGCGCACTTGAAGTCTTCGCAAAGGCACGCATCCAGATGAAGCCCAGAGCCCAGACCATGCCTTGCCAAGCACCACACAGCTGCACTGCGCAATCACGTCGCAGTGTGATTTCAGGCTGCCATGCGAAGAAGATGTGATGTGATTTCTGCGGCTTGTCTTAGTCTTTGCTTCACTGACAGAGATGCTGTGTAGCACGGCGGCACGCTTGGCGGACCCCTTTCCAGCTTCAGTAGTGGTGGTCGTCGTAGTATGCCTGACACACAATGCTATAGCGGCCGCTCCGAAAAGATCGCGCAAGTATCCATGTGGCTTCCGTGCGCAGGCTGCCGCGCGACAGTGCCACTATGCAACCAAAAGATTCACAAGGCACTGCAAACATAACATGGAATCAGCAGTGTGTTCTGCTGATGCTGGGCCCATGCTGACAACATGAAGAGGCACCTCATGTCGGGCTGGCACAGATATCTGTGGCTGTGAACAGCGCACGAGGCGTCCTTACATGGCCAGGGTGGCAGAAACAGCTCTTCTTAAACTCTTATGGATGCACCTAGCATCACCTAGAAATGTATAAAATTGTATAACTTTACTCACAACCCCGCACAGTGCCCCACTGGGCCTTGGCGAGAGAGACCTGGCACCCTGACGAGCTTGAAGCGTGCATTGACAGGCCCCCGCTATGTTCGCAGGAAGAGGCCATGCATAAGCATCCTGTGCAACACCACAGTACAACATACCATCTGTGATACATTGGAATAAAACATAACATTGTATAGCCCAATATTCAGTGGATCCGTTCACGGAACCGGAATGGGAATCGAATACTTCAATATGATATGATATAGCATAAAATATGGTATACTTAGTATACTATAGTCCATATTGTTGCCTCGTGCATGGCTTAAAGATCGCGAGGCAAGGTTACAAGTGACAAGATGGTGAGTTCGCATGGCTGTCTGGAATTCATGTTAACTCACAGCCTCATTTGTACAAGCAGCTTACTATAGTATATGTATGTATGTATATATATATATATATATATATATATATATATATATGGAGTGCATAAAGTATGATCTAATATAGCATTGTATAGTATCATTTTGCATACCCCAGTATAAAACAACATAACATACGATCATAATACTGAAAATACGCCAATACAGTTTAACATTATTCATAGGACATGATAAAAGCATATTGTATGATATATACATATATATATATATATATATATACATATTCTTGTTGTCGCCAATTACCGACCGCAATATAACGTAACGGGGAAGAATAGACTGCACCATAACATAGCATATAGCATAACATGGGAGAGTATGCTATAGTGTAGCATAATGCAGTATAGCGTTGTATACGTGCAATTATATGTATATCTGTATATCTGTATATGTATATATATGTATATATGTATATGTATGTGCGCGTGTGTGTGTGTGTGTATGTATGTATGCATGCATGCGTGTATGTATGTGTGGCGTTGTAAATTAATACAGCACTTTTTTCACACATGATGATATTACCCAGCGCAGGTTGAACCTAAGCTATAATAACTCCACAGACTAAACAGCATGAGTAGCTCGCGGCTGCCGCTTGCAGCAAGGCATCATTGAGGAGTATGTTGCTGGCATCGGCGAAATTGAATATGTGCAAGAAGCAATTGGCATGATAGTCGCCTTGGCTGGATAAGAGTGTGCCTCGTTGCGGTGACTCAGGTTCGGCCGAGCATCCGCTGGGCTCATGAAAAACCTTGTCCCGAATCCACCACCTGAAAATTGCTGGCTTGAGTAAAAGGTCTCTGCGGAAAAATTCCTGTCTTGAGCGAATGACTCGCTGCCATCGATGGTCACCCACATAGACTGACCTGAGTGCACAGCAGTCAAGACACTCGTCACATAAATCCGGCCACGATCAGACAGTGACTCTGAAGCCCGAAATCCTGGCTCGATGTCTACTTACTGCAAAATGTTCTGGATGAACCTGATTCTGCTTAGAGCTTCCTGCAGGTAAGCCGCCTTTCTCATCAGAATTCATGGGATGCGCCCTGCCTCCGCCAGCTCCGTTCTTCGGCTGGGTGACGTCAATGAGCCTGGGCGTTTGGAACTCCGACAGCAAACACACAAACACACTCTCTGAGTCTCTTTCTGTCTGCCTCTCTCTGCCATTGCATCCAAAGTGTTTCGCAGATGCCACTACACAGAAATGCGTATATACTCTTACGGCACAAGCCCTGCGCTTATTTCTTGTGACACTTGTGATCTCGCTGATCCCGAAATTCTGAAGCGAGGCTCAGGTGTGGGGCCGTGACGTCCGAAAGAACCTTCAAGTCGATCAAGGTCTCCCAATCCTCCTGGTGCCAGAGGCGTAGTCGAAAGGCGGCTCTCGACTTCTCGACATCTTTTGCTTATGCCGGTTCTTGCAGAAGTCCTTGTTCCGTGGCGAAATAATCTTCCAGTGCTTTGGGCAATCGTTCTTGGAGTCGCTCTTCCTCACGTCTGCGCAGCTGCCCACGCACTTCCTGAGAAGCAGGAAGGGCAAAGTTAAACCCCATGCGCACTATATATCCCTGCAGCCGGTTGCAACTGGTTCATCTGATCAACGATGCAGCGAGGTTGCTGCAGGCCACCGGGTGACCATTTCTTTCCCTTGAGGTCGACCTCTGTGCCTCAGAATCGCGGCACGAAGCGGTCAGAGACAAGAAATTGTCGATGCCGCGGTGTGTCTGTGATGAATATCGATGAAGACCCACTGGTAGCAGGAACTATTGGCCAGGGACAGCATTTTTGCGAATGACAGCACTGAGACCGAATCCAACCATACAAGCACGCGGCCTTCTGAGACTATTGAAACCTAATAGGGGCCGAAATAGCCTAAGTAATTACCAATGCTATTTTGGCGGTTCAATCTTGATGACGATTATGGTATGATGTGCCCCAAAACCCTATTCTAATTGTCAAGGCCCCTATGTTGAAAGAAGCTCTCCAAAGCAGCTCTCTGTGAGTTTTGTCCGAGGATCACTTGCAAGACTTGCCTTCGTCCTCAAGTTGAAAGATGTCGCCATCTATCGATGAGTTCTCCTCCGCATTTCTTTGTTAAGGCCCAACAAAGCATATCAGCAACATGGATATCCCTATAAAATGCTTATGCTTATGTGCTTTTTGGGTCCCTAATGCAAGTCCAGACCACTTCGCACTGCAAGCCACTGCAATCGCGGTCCTTGCGCACGATGCTTCGAATTTGCGACTCTCCCTCCTTGGATCACACGGTTCCAGCTGATTCTATCTGCACAATCCGCACTCCCAAGTACAACGGCATTCTTTCGGATGGACTATAGTCTATAGCTGATGCTTAAGTCAGGCATCTGCCAGGATCGTCGCCTCCATATGGCCGTGGGAAGCATCCGGATGAGGATGGGACGTATCAATGGCGCAAACACGCCGGTGTATCACAAAGGCTACCAAGAATCTCACCTGGGCACTGGAGGATGGCTGCACGGCAGTCTCCACACTTCAGTCCAACAGGCCCAGTGGCAGAAAACATTGGGACCGCAACGTGGCGGCTGGATCCTTAGCTTTCGATGAACAGCTGCTCAACTGAACCCAGGCTGACAGAAAGAACCTGCACCCGATGCTGCCAGCCGTCCCACGGAAAACGGCGTCCTATGCGCTCCTATTGCTGATTGGCTGCAGTTTTCCGCAGTCTTGAGCCAGAACGTGGCAAGAAGCGTTGAATGGTTCGTCAAGCAAACACGAGTATCAAGCAGTACCCGCAAACCCCATCGACTGCAGCCCAAATGGATTGGCCAAGATGCCTTTGCTGAAGTTAGGAGTGTAGCCTTGCGGAACACTTAGCCGGCCGGCAAAGGGCCAGCTCCTGGACGATCGGAGGGCACATGGCCAATAAAGGCAAACCCTGCACGACAACACAAGAAAAAAAAACACAAGCTGCTCCGCCTCTTCTTCGCCTGTGAGACGAGCCTCATGACGAACTGGTTGCCTCAGTGACTCATGCGCGTGCGTGTGCCTGGCTACATGCCAGGCGGGTTCTTACTGCTTTTTCTCTGGGGCACCCCCAGCAGACCACCAGTGTCTCTGTCTTTCTCGTCCAAAACACTCTGCATCTCTCATACGGTGAGGACGGCAGTCCCGTTGGTTTGGAGGATAGGTTGGGTGCCAAGTGTCGACACACAGGGCGGGCTGCTGCTCTTCCCGGCTCTGGCAGCATCCGATTGGGCAAATGCTGCAGCCGGGTGGCACAAGACCTTCGCCTGCTCTCGTAGTGGCAGCACATGAGGGCCAAGCTGCACCTGGAAACTCGGCCAACTTCAGAAGTTCCGAATTGTAATATGACAACGTGCCCCGTGGCGCTGAGATGATAGATGCAGTCCAGACGCAAAGTTCTGCCGCATTGCTCTGCCGGCCACTTTCACGATGTCCTTGTCAGCACGGCACCCCTACGCTGACTTGCTTTCTGAAGGCTTGGTTAGGAAGATCTCAGCACCTGAACACGGGGCGCACTCCTATGATATCGGACATGTTTGCTCGATGCGTCTGTCTGCCGGCAGCATGCATGCCGTCTGAAGGTCAAGCGCTGTACAGTCTTGACAATGGCTCTTAATGCTCAAAACACGTCTGGACGTGGCAATGACAGATCGAGCTTCTTTCAAGCTGATCGGGCCAGCAGCCAATCTACTGCTTCGTCTGCGGTGCTGCAGTGTAGCAGGGCCTCACGGATTCCTTCCTCTGGGAAGCCCATGGTGGTGAGTTCGCCTGCCAGCTTCGACTGCGGATCCTCCTTGGGTCGCTCTGACACAGCTGCCGAGCTGGCGGAGGCTGCCGCAGGCCCCGGCGGCCCTGCCGGCACCACCGCCGGCACCGCCGGCACTGGGCTCGCGCTGCCGAGCGCCTCGAGAAAGGGCACCTCAAACAGCGCTTCCGAGGTGGTGGTGGACAGCAGTGCGGAGGCGAGGCTCCGCGGCCGCTCCCGACTATCTCCTCCTGTCCCCGCCGGTGCCGCCGGTGCCGGCGGCGCCACGGATGCCGGCACGGATGCCGGCACGGATGCCGGCACGGAAGCCGGCACGGAGTCCGCGAAGTCCAACATCTGCTGGAGGTGCTTTCGTGCCTCCGGCATCTCAGCATCTTCAAGCATGCTCGACAAGAGGTTCCGGACTGCCACCATCCGCATATCCGGATCTTTGGTCCAGGTGCGCTCAGGCAGAGCCTCTGCCTGCACGTCAACGAAGGGCCTGGGCTCTGGTGCTGGGCTCGCAGCTCCCGATGGGACGGGGCTCGTTTCTTGCGTTTTGGGCAAGCTGGGCACAGCAACTGCGCCGATGTCCTTAGCTTCGTTTTCCGCATCCAACCACGGGTGCTCAAACTCGAGGAAGTGGGCAGGATTCTTCCGATAACAACGTCGGCCAAATGGGCAGACCGGTCGCTCTTCCAGCGCTGGGACCTCTGCTGGCGTCAGGCGCGCCTTCTTTTCGGGCGGCACAGGGGGTAGCATGTCGTCAAAGCCGAAATCATCTAAATCCTCCTCTGCCGTACCCCGCTGCATTGCATCCATGGCCGTAAGCCCACGTTTCAAAGCTGGACGGGAGCCTGAGCCAGATGCAGAGCCAGGAGCCCCCGAAGCCCCCGAAGCCCCCGAAGCCCCCGAAGCCCCCGAAGCGGAAGCGGATGGCTCCAGCTGATCGAAGAGGATGGTGTGTGTCCTTTTCATCGCTCCAGATTTTCGAGGGCCAGGAGCCACATAGCTAGAACATATCTGTGCCCACGTCATGTCGCTCCGCTCGCCAACTAACGTGGGAAATCTGGGGATGTTGTCTTGCGTGAGCTCTTGGTAGCGATACGTGATCACGGAATTCAACGGTGGAGGGTCCCGCCTCTGCGCATCACTGAGACCGGAACCGACCTTGAAACGCCGCTTGTCAGGTGTTTCACAGAGTAAAGCGCCACACATCCCCGCCACCCTGCCTGTACCACCTGCATGTCCTACAACAATACACTCTTCATCGTAGAAGGTCTTCACCTTCAGTAACGACTTGGATCGGCGGTGCTCATACTTGGATCCGGGGGAGCGTAGCATGAGACCTTCTCCGCCACGCTTTTCGATCTCTGCCAGGGAGGAGTCGAGGTGCGCTCGGTTTGCGCACTTCTCCATTGGAACCGGCTTCAGAGCAGGATCTTTCGCGGTCGAAGATGCACAGATGCGGCGCACAGCATCCATCCGAGCCTCGAAAGGGTTATGTTCGATGCTGGCTCCCCCTTCCTCCAAGCAGTCGAAGACCATGTACGTCAAGAACTCCCATTCGTTGTGGCGCCCAGAACTCCGAACGATGCCCGATGTCTTTTGGAACTGACCACGACCACCCCAAATCTCTCCATCGAGTACACAGCCTTTCGGCATCTTCTTCTTGAACCACTCCGGGCAGGCGAAGGTGTTGTCCCCACGTGAACCAAACTCTCCGTTCCGCCAAACTGCCCTCACGCCGTCCAGCTTCTCTGACATCCACCATCCTGTGGGATCCTCATTCTCCCATTTCTTCGCCAGCAGGACATCGGACATCGCGACAAAGGCACCGAAAGCCCCCGTGCTCAATACGAATAAACACGAGCAGACTAGACAAAGGACCTATGCACGCCTCAAGTACATCTAAGCTTATGATGCGCTCGCGAATGCATCCTTCCTCACACCGGCATCTTTCTCTTTCTGTCTCCATGTTTGTATATGTACATATATATATATATTTATGTATATACATATGTATATAGATGTGTGTGTATATAAGTACTAGTACACGTATACACAGATGATTAATGTTCTTCAATCTTGCCCGTGCTGATGAATTGGCAATTGGAGAGCTTGAGGCAGCTTTGCGCACGGACTTGTTTGACTTCCAAGCGCCCCGAGACTTCGCAGCTACAACTGCAACCCAATCCTGACAACAGAAATGCTGAAACAATCAAGGCGATGCTGATGGCACGTGGTTGCAAAGCGTTTACGCAGTCTGCTGAATTCCGTATCATTGAAGAGCGCACCTTGGACAGCGCCACGCCACCTTGGAATTGTGGATGCTTGTGACTTGCATAACGCGTGCCAGGGAGGCACAAGTTTAAGCTTCAGGCTGTTTCCCTCATCGTCCTCCTTCTGAAAAACACAGTTGTAGGAATTGTCATCTGAAAGATGTGTGCGGAAGGTGTACAGGAGCTTGTACCTGCAGGGCTTCACATGCCAGCTGACAGTGGATACCTGCTTTCTGTATATGGGAGTTTGCGAAAACAGGGGACCCTAATACAGTACCCTAAACAGTAGGATAGGATCCTTATTATAAGGTACCCCTAATGTACGGAAACTCCCATATGCTTCCAAGGCACTTGGCCCGCATCGAATCAGACATCCGGCTTGACAGCATCAAGGCGCATCCGCCACAACGGAAGAGGGTGTTCCTAAGATGTCGGATAAAGTAACAACTAGCTCTATATCAACATCTGTACAGCTATACATGTGTATATATAGATATGTATGCGTATAAGGTGTGTAAATAATTTATGTGTATGTATTAGTTTAAGTGGGTAGATAGACGTGGTCTGGTGCTATGTGGAGATCCAAGGCACTGCAGGAGCATCGACTTCTGATTTCCTCGATAAAGATTCTGTGTGATGTTCCTCAGTCGGAGAGGCTTGTGCGGGAGTTTCTGAAAATAGGGGACGCTAATCTTGTACCCTAAATGGCCCTAAATAGTAGGATAGGATCCTTACTATAAGGATCCCAAAATAAGGATGCCAAATAAGCCCTGTACTGCACCTTCCTGGCCAACCTTCCCAGCTCAACAGCTTCAAAGCGAGACAGGCAAGAAACACGGCAAAAGGTCAGGGAGGGACCTGTAATTAAGTGGCCCAGAACGGCCCGGAACCACAAGCCCAGTCTTGAACTCCGCCTGTGCGGGGCCTGAGGCTTGCCAACGCCTGCCTTGTTTCGTCCCACCATTTTCTCTGGCTGTGGCGCGCACACCAGTGCCCGCAAGGTGACAAAGTCTTTTCTAGGGGTTCCAGGGTTCAGGAGAACATCCCTCCCAAAATGACAATAGCAGCTAGCCATCATCGTACTAGTAGCAACTATAAGGTTAAGAAAAGTTTATCTTGATGAAGTCTTATTCAAGTCCAGCAACGAAAACATTCAACTACTCGTCGGCTCTGGGGCGCAACCGACTTCGGATCGCTGGGCTTGTTCTTATTCGCCCACAGGCTCTGCAAGCTTCACCGCAAGCGTGACGGGATGGGTTTAGGGCTTCGGGGGTACAGGGCTTTAAGGAATTTAGGCCTTTGGGGTTCAGGGGGTTTCAGCTCACGAAGATTTAGGGCTTAGGGGGTCGGGGTAGGGCTCGACTCTCACACTCGGACAAGCCCGGCATGGTCTGGGACAGCGGTCTGACAAGCGAAAAGGAAGGCTGAAACCTGCTGTCATCTGGAGTGCAGCATGCGCCAGCAACAAGTGTCAACCAAATATCCATGCTCCAAACAGCAGCTGGCTCTGAGCGGTTTTTGGTTCAATTTGGCGGGACACAAGCAGCAAGCAATCTGGTCAAGAGTCTCTGTGGAGACCACCAGCGCCAGAGAACCTGGCCTGTTCTCCAAAAGCTGCTTTGCAAGATCCACAGAAATCACCTTAGCCAAGAACTACATTCGAGGAGCCATCACAGTTGGTAACTGCTCAGCGCTGACAAGCTCCATCTCCCTGGGAATGGAACGTTTGCAGAGCAACCCATGCCGCCGAGATTGTACGACCGTATGTCCTGCAAACAGGATCTTGGCAACATCAAGTGCTCGCAGAGCGTTGCTGGACTAAACTTCAAATCATGGGAGCAACGTGACCTGCCGCAGCCCAAACTTGTTGCAAACCATCGCGCAAAGAGACGGCGTCGGACAAAACCTCAAAAGCATGCATCCCAATCTCAAGCCCATTACGAACGAGAGATTGGAGATACGCAGGTAAGCCTTGGCTACATCAAGCTATATACTGGCAGATAGATGTCCTACAGCACTTGCTGGCTCATCATCTCAGGGTCACATGATACCGGCCCATGCTCCAATGTGATCGAATTCTGTCACTGCGACACATCGTAGCAGACTTTCATGTTAGTGTATGTCTACATGTGTTTGAGACGTACATTAATGTTCTTTTCGCCATGCTCCTGTTCTCGTATTTACAAGCATGCAAGGAGAAAGCTGCTAATTTATTTAAGTAACAGCAACAAGTAACATACGATAACATTACGTACATGCAGCCGATATCCACTGTCGTTCGCAAGTGTCTCGCAATACACGCTTGCAAGCGAGGTTGAGGCGGCGGCAGAGAGCAGTTGATGATCAGAAAATCGATTTTTTGCGGCTTGACCTCGGACCGCTGGGTAGCGGAGGCGTCCGGCAAGATCGAGCTCACTGCGGATGAGTGACTGAAATCGGCACCACTTCATGAAGAAGGCAGAGGTGACGAGGGTAGTGATGATGCTTCTACTGCTGCGGCTGCTGCTCCGGATGATGTTGGCCGTGTTTGTCGTCGGAGTTGGAGGACTGACTGCAGCGTGCACGAACGTCTGAGAACCAGGCCCGTGTGCGCTTCAGCAGCTCGGTAACCAGCTCAAAAATCCTGGGCCGGGAAACCACTCCAACAACGTCATCTACTGGTTCGAGGGTTTAGGGTTTAGGGTAGTGAGAAACACAATCTAGGGTTCTTGCGAAGCCGAGCGACACTATGTGCGCTTCGTCGCGTGCTGCCTCCATGTCGCATTGACCCTGCCCATCACTGTGGGGCATCAGCGACTGAATACTGCACTCAAGCCCGCTGATGTTCTCGGTTAGGGATTCGGGTGCTTCGGGAAGTTCCCCGAGATCAACCAACTATAACCAACTTCTGATGAAGCCCGACCCGAGCTGCAAACGCACTGCGAAGCCGCAGGTCAATATGCTGTAACTTTTCAGGTTTTAAGGTAGTTTAGGGTCGAGTGAATCTAATTGCTGCTTGGGTAATAAAGCGGACGATTCCGTTCTTCTCAGCCTTGGTCACGCCATCCTTCGATCGCAGACTGCCTGATGCGCGAATCGCCCAAGTCAGCTCAATCGGGGAAGCAACGAATTGTTAGTACGCTCATGATAGTTATTCCGATTATAGCTACTATAAGTATGATTGTTACGATTATGATTATTATGATTGATTAGTGATTAGTCTTCCCCACTCGTCCGCTTGCGCCTGGCGGCCAGTGGGTGGACTCGCCTGCTTCCATGCAGCAGCAGGTGGTGGACCAGAACGAACAATTTCTTGCTTGCCCATGCACTCTTCCGAAGATAGGGTACAGTACCCTAATATAGCACCCTAAATGGTAGGATCCTTGTAACAAGGACCCCCAAAATAAGGTTCCAGGTCTTTGCCGTCGGCATGCATGAAAGCCCTCCCTATAACCGAGGCCGACACGCCCCCATCCGTTGCTACCCGCCAGAATAGCCATGCATCATTCAATAGTACCGGTTATGTTTCTGAGAACCTTGTGAAGAATAGATCTTGCTTGCCTGTGCCGGAGTTGTCCAGAATGCGCTCCTGGAACTCCATGGAGCTGTCCTGACTTCCGGCACTCATAGTATGCGCGTGCTGAGAGCGTGTTGAGCACGAGGCATGCTCCGACTTCACAACGTAGGGATGGCAAAATGCCGGAACCACGAGCTGAAGAACATGTTCAGGTGATGGCGAGCTTCGTTGAAACAGCCCTGTGCGCGCATCATTGTCAGCACTTCTTCTCTGCTCACCTGCCGGCAGATGCAAAGCAGGAAGCGATTTTTTTTCCGAAGCAGTGCGGAATCGCGGTGATGACCGCCGCTTCGGTTGAACTTCGTGAGAACCCTGCCTGCCACTCCTCTGGTGGCTTAAAAACGATGTTCTCCAAGCCTGGAAGTCTCCGGCCCATGTCTTTCTGAACTCAGAACCACAGCCCTGCAGACCAAGCACTCACTTCTGAGGAGTTAACAGTAGATGGACGACTTGTGCTGGCTGGCATACGCAACGATCAACGCTGCTGCACCGATCACCTCCCAAATTCTGTGAAGCCGCTGGGCACGAAGCAGGAAAGCTCATTCAAACGATGCTGCTGGGGAGAGGCTTTCCTCCCGCAGCGCAGATCTTTGCGGACCCATGCTGCCGAACCGAGTTTACGTAGCCACTTGCAAAAGTCAAGGCGGTGTTGAAGCTCACACCCGAAGGTAAAGAACAATGTTTACTCGCAAGCTGGCCTGCATCATCAGTGGGTCCTGAAGTAGTGACCACACTCGCATCAACTCATCCAGTCGCCACATGTACAGGCGGTAGGCCAGGAGAACGCCGACCTCAATCTTTCGCCAGACATTTTTGCTATTCACTTTGCGGCTATCACTAAAGTATCAACAAATTATTGATCATGGTCGTCTCAACCACCGACATAAGCATCATGAGCATCAGCACACTGATTACCATCATCGTCTCTGGTCATTCCGATCACCAGGGCGCGACTATTGCACTCATCGGAGAACATTTTCGGAACGAACTGTGGCGACAAGAAATCCAAGAGCAAGTAGCCTCTCAACGACGACTGGTTGTCTGATGCATTCTACCTGCAAGAGACCTATGTTTTCCCTCATATATTAGTTAGGTTAGATTATTTTATGTTATACTACACATTTCATGTTACATTCTTTTATATCTGATGACTGTCACCTTCCTGTCCATGTGCATCCAAGTAGCAGCGGCAATGGAAAACCCGTATGCATATGGCAAGTACTCTGCCAAGAAAACATAGGACCAGTTGATGGTCCTTAGACGCCGTGGCTGAAGCTCCAACAACATGGGGGGCTGCTTCAAGCCGGCATTCTAGTTTTCTAGTTTGATAAAAGAGTCTACAAGATCTTGCTTCAAACCGTCTACATGTGCTGAGGCGTCGTGGCCATGTCCAGCCAGGAGTCCGAATTCGCAGGGACTTCGGCTCCCAATAGTAGACCTGGACAAGGCTTTCAATTTGACAGACCTCGGTCCTCACGAGAAGACACCTCTCTTCAAGCTCACTCCTGGCAGTACAGAAAGCATTCTCATCCGCCAAGGGCTGGCTCTGCGAGCATAAGGACGCCGCATCTTTCACCACATGCCCCAGGTTGCTGCCAATGCTAATGGATCGCCTCATCTCCAAAGATCACGCGAGGACCAACGGGCGCCGAAAAGAGTAATCGAAGACATCATATCCAAAGTGCTCAGGCTTTCGGATTTTGGGGGTTTGGGCTTCTATCAAGTGTGTGGTTGTCAAAATTAAGGCCCCTTTTTGGGTATCCTAGATATTAGGTGCCTTATGATAATAGGAACCCAGAAAGGGACCCTAATTTTGACAACCACCCAAGTGCTTTCGGGCGGCTTCCGCAAGTCAAAGTCCTGGAGGTCGGTTGCAAGCTTGCCTTCGCAGAGGCAGGTTTCACATCTACAAGTCAACAGCACCAGCAGCTCCTTTTTTCGTAATTTGCAACTGTCTTTGGTGTCATGAGCAACTTTCATGCTTATTGTCTGCTTATTCATTGTTCATTTCTCTATAAAAACATTTTTGTGCGAAATCTATAATGCGGTTCTTTGATTGGCCCGGATGTTTTGAGCGTTTGCTTCGGCCCTTTCTCAATCCTACTTGAGTAGAGGATCAGGAACCTACACCCCCAAACCCTGCTAAACAGCTCTACTAGTACTCCTACACACCCGTACTGTACTACTACTTTGCTACAACTGCTGCAAATAGTTGCTACTTTACCAGGCCTCAGACTTGGTCGATTGTGGAGGGGGTAGGATGAAGCAAAAACGCTTCAAAGTGAAGGGTCTTTCGTGTTGGCGGTTATCTCGGAGTGATGAGTGATCGGGGTTTGGTTTCGAGGTTTTGCGCCAAAACCTCGAAACCAAACCCCTACGATTTGGGGGGCCCTACAACCCAGCTTAACAGCTCCAGGTACCTCCAAACCCTCTTACTGTACAATACTGCTGTGCTCGTGATGTACTACTACTGTGCTGCTGTACTACTGTTGTACTCCTACTGTTCTACTACTCACTCACTGCACATCCTTCTAAAGAGCTGACCTCCCAGCCCAACCCTCCTCTACAGCCCCACCCAACTCGGGCATCCGGCAGCCCAAACCCGTTGGATCCCCCAAAACCCTTCCAAGTTAGTCAAACCCGCGGATTCACTCACACATTGTTGTGTTGTTATCCCTTTCTACGAGTAGAAGATCGACACTGTAAGGCTACTACAAACGCTACCAAGCCGGCACTGTAATTACTATAAGGTTACTAGAATTGGCAATGGTACCCGGCAACTACAAAGATTTCAATGCACCCTTGCCTTGCCTCCCAGCAGTCTGTGGGCTAGGCTCGTCATTGGGTTTATGACCGCAACCTGGGAACATGCCCGGCTGCGGCAAGCTGGCATCAGAGTGCCATTGCGGCTCCAAAGGTAAAGAACCACTGAAGTAATGCTACAAGGGCGCTCTTACTAAAACCAGTTCTATGACATTGGAAGTTACCGCAGATGTGTTATCATAAGGGAGTGTTGCTTGAGAAGAACCCGAATCATCCTTGCTCAGTTCCACTGAAACATACAAGCGATACCGGGATACACTCCCGGGTCCACTGGCATTGGCAACTTCTCCTTCTTCAAGGTTGCACTAAACTTACTGCGCATCATTACGCATCTGGAAACAGACCGGACTCGATATGACTCGATTGCAATCCTGTTGCGCCATGTTCTCAAAAACTAGAGATTTCGGAAGGCAAGCTGAAGCATTGGATGCACATCGGCTCTCCTCGCCCTTATCCCTTTAAGACTATGTGTGCCCAGATCCCACGTCCACAACATACGAGGGATGCAGACACATGACCAAAACGAAAGTGATGAAATGTCGCATTCCCATGTGACTGGCGGAAAGAACTCGGCCAAAATGCTTCCCCCCAGGTATTGACATCTGACCCAAACCTCTGGGAGTCCACATTGTTGAATGTACAGTGAATCGCACTTTTCGGAGGATGCCGCGGCACAGGGACGGTGCAAATCATGCGACATGAATGCAAGCTTCCAAAGCAGGAGCACGGAATATGGATGAATATGGTCCGCGTGTGAGTCGGGCGCGCCTCGCGGAAACACTAGTCACTGGCAGGTTTGTGCACTCCGGACGTAAGAACCCGAGAGTGTGAGCAAGTGTGTACAGTACCACACAGTTGTTTGGAGAATGCTCAAACTCGCGGCATCATGCCAATCCGGCACACTCACCATGCTATACCATGCTCCCTTGCATGCCTCTGCCCTCGACATCATCCCTAATGTACCTCGACCACACCCCAGCAGAGGCTGAAACACAAATGAACGTGCCTCTACACTGCACAATCACCTGAAAAGGGCTCCTGATTTCTGACATCTCAGGCCGAGGCTTTTGCGACGCCTCTTGGGCCGCTGGGCACCAGAAGGCCAAAGCCGCAAAGGCGTTGCTGGAGCAACTTGAATCCCTCCAGATTCTGTTGCAACTTTCTTCTTCTCTTTCGACCGTGTCAGCGTCTTCTTTGAGCGTAACGCATACTTAGGCTCATGCTTCCACACTTCATGCCAATGCCTGGTTCGAGCCACCCGACGAAGAGAAGGTGATTTCAAGCCACTGCAACACGCAGTGGTTCCGTTCACGCTCACGCAACCGTTTGGCCGTTTGGCTTACTACTACACGCTTTGATGCCTCATTCCTTTATGAACTCATTTATTTATTTATTTATATTTAAAATGTAGTGCACCCTTAAGGGGGTTTCCTGCGGTACCCAATCTATGTCAGCAGCCGAGCACTTCCGCCTAGTCTCTGCCAGGTCCTGCTGGTTGAAGCCTGAAAAAGCAAGACGGCAAAACTTCGATATGACGCCAGTCTTGGTGGGAGGAAGTGCTGTGAGAAAAGAGAGAACCCTACATGGACCCTCCGCTCAAAGGGAGGCAAAGCTTTCATGCCGGGGGCCCTGCAGTTCACCTGAGCCACTCCTTGCGTCGCAGGCGAAGTCGGCGAAAGTTCCCCTGCTGCTGGCCAGGTGTTGACGGTACTGATGACGGTCGGTCGGAGTCTCCCCTCATTGGCCTGTCTGTTTTTGGTTTTATGATATCTTTATGATGGCTCTGGCTTGCCTGGTGATACAACGGAGTTTCAGGAATCACAGAACGTGATGTAGAACAACTAGTTCACTAGCTTCATTGCCAGATTATGTGCACCTCTTCGTGGCCGCTTGACGGTGTACCCCGGCTCTCAAGCATCACCCAAAACTCGATTCCACAGTCAGAGCCCCGCCCGGCTTTACCCAAGGCCTCGAAGCTGCGAAACGCTGGGATCCCAGGCTCTGTTCGCCAACTCCTGGTCTTCAAACGGCCGAGGAGTGACGTAAGCTCCGAAATGAGCGAGAGAGCTGATGCATCGTTCGTCGCAGAGGCATGTGCTATGCCATGCCTTGCCAGTACAGTAGCCATTGGACAAGAGAGCGAAGAGCAACGGGCTCATTCACGTGACAGGACTCCCACCTTCGATCTGTAGGTATCCTTACATGGCGCTTATGGTCACTACCCCTTTGGTAGGACCCACCCTCAAAGGAGGCATCAGAGGAACCCTCGGAAGCTGGCCTGGGCCCGGAAATCCGCCGTGCACGCGGCCGCCGCTGGCGCGGCCAGTGCCGGAGTGGAGCCGGGCCGTGGGGCCGCCGAAGCTCGAGCTGCAGACCGCAAAAACGGGGCTTCCGGCTTAGGGTTCTGAATCGAGGCTACTTGTAGTATCTTGTAGTAATCCGGACGCAATGGACTGTTTTTAACTGCTTGCGCTGACTCGAGCACTGCAGGAAGACCCAGCCTGCGTTTGCCGGTCCCTGTGGGACGGGCCCGGAGGCAATGAGGGCGGCCCGGGCCGCCACCTTTCCCGTATCGGTACTTTTTAAGATATCTTAAGATCAACCGCTCTAATCTCGGACCCACCTACTCCAGTGAAAGCTGGCTCGTCTGCTTCGAAGTGCTGTAGGTCCGCACCACATTCGATGTGTCCTGGCCCAGATGCACACGAAGACCGAAGAGGGGGACGCCAGATTCTCAACTTCAACTGGTGTATCTGCAAACTGCAGATACTGTATGGGTTTTATCACGCCGCGGCCTGCTCACCAAGCTATCCGGCTCATAGAAAGGCGGCCTTCAGTATCTTCAATCGAACTAACACGGCAGCTGACAGCGAATCCAGAAAAGCCGAGAGCTGCGCACTGGAAGCTGCATCCAACAGGGGTTCGGCTGAAGCCGACCTTCTCAGCCAGCAACTCGACAGCGGCAGGCTGCGACAATGTGTCATTTCTGCGATTGAAACAACAACTCGAAGGAAGAGTCCACTCGGAATCGTAGGTTACACGATCTACACGCGTCACTACACTGGACGCATGAACTGTTTCGTGGAAGTGTGGATTCTTAACAGCCTGAAGCTCAGAGCTGGGCATCTTCGTCGCAGACCACGCGACAGTGGACAGGCCTAGCAGCGAGCAGCAGGGAGTCTCAAGTCAACCCCTTATGCTCGCGATAAACCCTACAGTACACCCAGCTGAAGGGATGTGCTGGCGTTCGAACCTCGTGCATCTGAGGAATTGCAGTCAGCAGCCTGCAGCGATCGTCGAGGATAAGTCCCAAGACACCCTCCAATAGAAATCGGGTATATCAGTATATCAGCGGAAGCTACAGCGTAGTGTTTGAAAGCACACATTAGACTCGAATCTGGCAACATAGCTGTGCGCGCACGTTGGCTGGATGGCGAGGATTCATTCATGTGTCAGCTGCAAGGAGTCCTGCCTGAATCGCTATCTTGGCCAGCACCTGTCTTCACACCACCCGAGCTGTCATGGTCACAATTGTGTCATATTGCGTCGGTCTTTTGGTATTCTCGAATAGCAAAGTATTGAAATAAATCACGATGTAGCTTCCATTGAAGGAGGATTAGGAGCCGGAGGAGCAGTAGAAGTAGGAGTCGGAGTAGGAATTAGGAGTCGTCGTCGTCAGCATGGAGACCACCTGTCAATCGTTGTGGCCCTCTCCCATTTTGGACAACATTGCAGCCACATCATAAGCATGACACTGTTGCTACTGTTGGTGGGCCGTCGCATGAAGTTGCTGCGCGAGGCTAGAATGCCACAGCGGGGTATCTCATCAGAAGTGGTTTCATTCAAGGATGATGTTAAGGCAGCGTCCCTAGTAGCAGCGCGACTCGTCGATCTGAGGTTTGATGCCGGCGGCACTAGTCTTGCTGTCAGGCTTACCGCTAGAGCTGATGGCAGGCATGTTTGTGGTAACCTCAGTTTGACTCCTTAGCATGCTTGACCTCGTGCCTGCGCCACTCGGATCTCAGGAATCTCACAGCAGCGCAGAACAGAACAAAACGGAACAGTCATCGTTGTCGTGGTCGTGGAAGTGGTAGTCGCTGTGAGCGTGGTCAGTGGTCAGCGGTCGCCGGCGGCGGTGGTGGTGAAGTACTACCTGTAGTAGCAGTGGCAGGGGCGGCAGCAGCAGAAATTAGCAGTAGCACCACACACCAGGAACTAAACACAACAAAGCCTGCACTACGTTGCAAGAAATGTTACAGTACTGTTGCAGTTGTCGTAACGCGATGTTGCTGCTGGGCAGCTTCATATGCAAGCGACAGACTTAGACTTTCCGAAAGAGTCCAACTTGCGTCAGAGCTTAGGAAGGCTCCGAGCCTCGAATGCGGGCTCGAAGTCGATTGCGTGTCTGGCGTCCTCGCGCAGGGACAACCAAGGCAGGGAGCAATGGGGCTCAGAGTGAGAAGTAGGGTTATAAGTGGGGTAACTATACTTATAACCCATATTAGGGGACTTATAACCCTACTTATAACTACCCGTAGGATTGCATACGGATTTGGTCGGTAACCTCTCTGAACAGCGCCGGCAAAGGTATTGTGAAAGCGGGGATTTCGGGACGTGTGCGTCCCGCAGGCTCAGCCATCGTTATCTAGCACACGACAGCAGGTCGCACCCATGGTCGCACCCGAGATCAGGCGATCTGATAGAAAACGGAGGCAATCTTCCACTTCGGCACCGTCTCAGGTGCCCTGCAGAAGGACTCGAGCAAGAGACTCTGCCTTCCTTCCTTTCTGATTATGCTGTGAACATGCCCCGCCTGAGAGACACACTTAAGAGTTCACGAGCCGACTGCGCTGTAGCCGGCCTGCATGAGAATGTATTCAATAAGCTCGGTTAGAAAGAGCATACATCCGAACTCGCAAGATGCAGGGAGCACTCGATGCAGAGGGTGACACGGGAAGTCTGAAGCAATCCGAAGACATGGCCCTCCTGAAAACGGACATGGTAACCATCATAATGCGCAAGATGGAGAACAGGCGTCGAGTAGCTCTTGCTGACAGCCGGCTACCCCACCAATTCGCACAGAGAGCCTTGCAATCTTCGTCCATCCGTGGCACCTAGCCTGCGAGCTGAGCAAACTGCTCAAAAGCCACTTGCGAGTGTGACCAGCCTTTTTCACCCATCACCCCCCGAACAGCACAGTGTATGTAGCGGGAGCAGCAAGTCCTCGGACTAACACTTGCAGCGAATTCAGCACCAAGCAAGAAACAGCAAAGCTTCCGAATGAATGGTCAGAGTTACCATGAAAAGCTGCGACGGTCCTGCCAAGTGCTGAAGGCGACTTTCTTCTCTCTGTGTTGCACGGGACCTGTCTTGACAAGAGCTGTTTGCTACGGTGACTGTGTAGCTCATGCTGACACAGTGCTAAAAGGACGACGGCCACCATTCGGACATTGGCAAAGCCTCTTCTAGAAACTATCATCTTCATGGTCATCTTCATCGCACGCTTCACGCTGATCTACATCGGGCGGCGACGACGGCGTTGTCTGCCATAGCAACTGCAACAACTACTAACTCATGCACCACGACTACCACCACTCTACTGCGACTGCTGCTATTCCTCGTATATACATCCGCCCGCTACTTGGTGCTTGCTACCGCGGTCACTGCAGGTACTACGACGACGATGAAAGCCCTCTTTCTGGTCAAGAAATGTCAAGAACAGCCATGTCTTGAATTCCTTGCACCTGTGATAGCACATCGGTCCACGCACTAAGATACGACGATACGATTTCCAGTTCGAAAGCAGGATCAATAGCTAGCCTCAGGCCACCCCCACCTGGTTGGAAGGGCGGCTTTGAATGCCTCCATGCAGAGGGCATGCTGCATCTTTCCCGCGGGGCGATATGACCGCCCCACCTTGGAGTCTCTGTTCTGATTGGCCCCTGAAAGTATGCCAAACTCTTCCGGCTGTCGCCCTTGCATAACCTGTGGTCTCTGGCCTGCTTGACTTCCTGTGGCTGCGGTCACAGCAAGATGTAACTGGTTCGGGGCGCCATTGAGCGAAAGGAACGTTGCCTGACGATCCGTTTTTGGCCAAGACCGCACAAATCGATTCAGCACTGGCACTCTCGTGCTCGCTGCAAAACTGTGCTCACCTTTGCAACCGAAAGCCAACGCAGAACATAACTCATCGTCGTGATCATCGTCGTACTCTTGCATTTTCTCCAAGTCGCCTGTCAATAGGTTAATTACAGTATTTGGGCTCGAAAGGTGCCGCACAAGTCCGCTGTTTCTGCGGTCATCAAACTTTGCCACTCCATTGTTAGAGATGCAGCAGATGTCTTGCCGCTTTCTTGGCCCCAGCAGGTTCGGGGTCGGTCGGACTGTGCCCGCGGCTCATCCTAAAACCCGGGTCGAAAGTGGTATGTTCAATCGCCCTTGGGTGTACACCATGAACCAAATTCGTTCTTCGAGCCTCGAACCTGCTAGGACCTCGCTGCTAGGGTCTCCGAGCCCAAGCGGCAGGTCAAAACCAATTTTCTAAGGCTCAGCCCAACAAAAAGTTGCACTGGCATGCCGCATTTGACCGGCAAGCAGAACTCTTCTGCCAACGAGATCTTGTGAAACTGGAACTACACCTTTGAGCTATTGAAAAGCTGTCGCTCAACCAGGCACCGGGATCTCTCTGGCCTCCACACACTCGCATCGGTCACCCCGGCCCGGAATCCCAGCTGGCCCTACTTTGACGAGCTCCGGGGCAGTGTGAAGGCCACGGAATGCAACAGCCCAGGCAAAAGGACGTGGGTTATAATTTGAATCTTGTTTCCTGTCATTCAGACCACTGCCTTCTGCTAGATTCTCTACTTTATCCTGTCTGCTCCGGCCACTCTCTGATCAAGTCGACAACGGCGTGTGTATTGAAACGCCGTCAATTATGCACATGTGCTATCAGATTTCAATTGGCTCGGCTCACGTCCGATCACTTTCGATTCCGATGCGCTTGTCCTTGGTCGGCTTGAGGGGTGGCCAAGGGTGGGTTCAGAGGAGGTGGAACACTGACTGAGCCCTCGACCCTTCAGCCTCGTTGTCCTGGCTGGTTAGGCAGCAGCACACAACCAAACCCAACCAGACATGCGCAAGCCCAACCCAAACCCACAACTCTCACAGCGTCATAGGCAGTCCTATGGAAGGGAGGCGGAGAGCAGATCTTGGGTAGCCATCCTGCATCATGGAAAAATATGTGTGTATATATATATATATATATACATATGAAAATGTGTGTGTGTGCTAGAGCTGCTAGAGCCTCACACCAAACAGGAGCCTACTGAGCTCAATTGAAGGTTCAGTGTTCCCTCCACAGGACCACTGATTGGCTGCTTACAACCCCAAGGGTCCTGGGTACTGTTACCGGGGGATACGTCCCGAAATCATAGTGGCTATGTGTGAGTGAGTAAAAAAGATATGCATACTTATGCGATAAAAATTCAAAGCAGGGTGTGAAGTGACATGCCCTTCCCTCTCGCTTTGGTGTGAAAGGTCGCATTGGCCGCAAGACTTTGTCCTCACCCCCCATGTGCCAGAGGAAACTACTAGTATGAAACGTGTCAACGTGCCTTTGGATATGTGGCCGTCTTGAGTCTTGTTTTTTTTGGCTCCCGCTTGGCTGTCTGGCGACTGCATTGCAGGTAACACGTGGCTGAGGGTGACTGGCTACACAATAACAGCTCCTGCCAGTATCTGTTGTATTGTGTCCTTTCATATCGCCTGTATCCGTTTGTTTACCGGTGTACTTGTTCTTGTGCTTCTGCCTGCCAAACTGTCCGCCTTGCCTTGAACATGGGCCGAGCTCGTCCTAGTGGCACTTAGCAGTTAGGCGACCCTGGACGTCACGGTCCCCAAAGGGCTGTCCTTTATTCTGGTCGGCGAGGGCGCGACCGAAGCCGAAGGGTTGCTACTGGCAGGTTATTCAACAGGACAGTCTGACAGTCCGGCTTTGCATGCAAAACTGCCTCCAGGCAATGGAGCTCAGCAAGCCCCGCTCCTCCTTGGGACACGGGTGGTGCGGACGGTACTTTTGGTTCAAACTCTGGCCTCGGTGGAGCGATCTCGGCCACCACAGTGACAGCCCACCATCCTGGCTGCTGTGCCATGCTGTGCCGGCATCGGCACTGCGGTCGGTCACTCAATCTTTGGCTCCCGGCTCAGAGAAGATGCGGGTCCTCGGCATCTGCACATCCCTCCCTATCAACCAGATGCTCCACTAGCAGGGTCCAGAGCCTGCGAACTTGCAACCGCAGACCAAGGTACTAACGATGGTGCTAGGTTCCTCTCTACGCCAACCCGCGGTGCAGGTCAGAGGTTCAGCAGGCATTCGAGGCCAACTTTTTCCATGCTGGCCGATCTTCTCTGCAAGCCCCTGCAGACTGGAGACTGTGAGGTCCGCCTTGCGATCCTTCGATGCAGTTTGGGACGTCGTCGTCACACCACGGTATTCACGCCACAAAAAATCACAAACAGTCTAGGGAAGCGCTTTCTCGCTGCACCCTTATGTAAAGTCGAGCCAGGTGTCCGCTCCAGCAGCACGTGCAGCAAGCTCTGCAGCCGAAGTCACCGAAAAGCGATTCTCCGCCTTTCCAGGCCGACTCACCAGCACGGTCCTGCCAGAGGGTGCTTTGAAGCTTTGTGCCGCAGATCTCAAAATCAGGAGCTGCTTACATGCGACTCTCAAAAGCTCCGGAGGCCGACGCGAGCAGCGGCGCTGACATCCGTCGCTGGATCGTCGCCCACATGCCACCATGACCTCCCCAGCTGAGAACACGAAGCCAAGCAAGCCGAAACACGGGCTGTCAAGACTGACCTGCGTCCCTCCATGCCGGCTGCTTACAATGCCTGCAGCTGCAGCCAAGATTCTGAAGACTGCCACTCCAGCCCAAATCCCTTGCTCTCGCAATGGCCGCTTCGAAAATGACCGGTGACGGCTTCCGGTGGGGGAAGATGGCATCCTGGACTACGTACAAAGCGGTGACCCCAAGCTTCTGTAAGGCTCTAGAATCTCTGCGCGCCGCGGTCGATCCCCCTGTCCTCCTCACCGGAAGCACAAAAAGAAAAGAAGGGAGCCAACTTCGCGATCTGCTGCGGGTTGCCGGCACCGTTGGTAATCGCCCCAATGATGGCCCCCGAAGCTGATAAGCCTTCCTGAAGAAACAGGGAGTCTACGGGCTGCTGGCCTGCGTATCTTGTATGACCTGTGCTAGGTGGGAAAAGGTCGGCAGTTTCACGAATCTGAGCACAGGCTACTGTAGCGGGTCGCACTGAAAAGGACCGCCACATCTAATTTCCGTCTCTGGACCGTTTCCTCTCCGTCTTTCTTGCTCTTCGGCGATTGAAAGTCTCCTCCTGCTCCGGAGCCAAGGATCGAGGCCTTCCAGCACGTCGGGGTAGAGGCAGGATGCTGCTGCATCACCCCTTGCCCTGATCCACTGTTTCAGAATGCGTTCCTCGCTGTCTCACGCTTCGTCACAGAACGCACTGTCGCATGCAACATGCCAGAGCCCACTATTCTCGGACAAGCGACTGCAGAACGCCTGTCGCCTCCCAGGAGCTCCTGGCGAAGGCACCAAGCAGTCTCCGAAATTGGGGGTACCCGGGGTACCGGATTGAGGGACCCACCTCGTCGAAGCACAAGTGGTGATGTGCCGATGTGCCAAAGGCCGAACATCGAACATCGACGTGCAAATCGAACCCTAGCAGCTCTTTCTGGCAAGTTACTAGCCCTGGTAGCAGCGATGAGCTCCTCGTAAGCTTGACGACGCAAGCAGGTGTAGCTGGTGTTTGCCCCTGCAGGGGTAGACCGGATGCGACGCATCGCCGCCATCACCTTGGAGCTCTTGACACAGGAGAACAAAAGACGCTTTGTCGCTTCAGGTCTCGGTCCTAGTCTGACAGCGGGCGTGCCAGTGTTGCGGTGCTGCTATGGGCTAAGGCACAAGCATACTGTGCTCTTTCATGGTTACATGCTGCCTGAAGCACCATCTAGAGTGTCTAGAGGATGCGGCAAGCATGGTCGAATCTGCTACCTGTCAAGACGGTGAACAACAAGATGGAAGGCAGCGTGACTGCAGCCTGGGCCGAGTTTGGCATAGGAGCCTAAGGCGGCTAAGCACCAGAGACCAACAGTAGACACACACCGCACGCATTCCAGAAAGACACTGAAGAACCCGGGAAACATCAAGCTGGCAAGACAAAGCATGTCCCTTAGAGCCTGAGCTGCTCTGGTTGCAATGCTTTCTGAGGCACCTCATCAGCTACCAACAACTTGTGGTCCCTTGCCACCTCGCCATTGGCCTGAGTGTGAAGCAACTAAGCTGGGACCTCCAAACCTGTGAAACCTTCCCACAGTCCCACAATCCTGGTTAACCACGTCCACCAGGGGCCAGAGAGTGTCATCCAGGTCAAAGGAGATGACGATCCCATTTCCCGCCCGACGCCGGCTCCTGGCACCCGGCGACAAAAATATGATTGCAACCTTCGGGAGACCGCACAGAAGGCCGGTGAGGCTGCAAGGGCGGATTTCGGAAGTAGTGCAATGAACACAACCCACGCCCGCCCGCCCCCCCTCTTCACGACTTCCCCCCTGAATACTCGTAGTGACGTAGTGAGCGTGGAGCATGTGCTGAAGCAAAAACTTGCCTGGCTCCGACCTAGTATTCGGTATGTGTTTGACACGGTTCTTGCGATTCTCGATTCTCAATATTTATGTAGGCCTAATGGCACTTCCGAAGTCAAGAGAAAGCAGGACTGGCGCCGCCAAGCACAGCTGGAGATTTTGCAGTCTCACAGATCGCTTGTACCGAGATTTCAATGTGTCAAAGTCACCATCTTGACGGTGAGCGCCAAACAAACCCTAAAGCGGTGTGCAGCTATCGGAATGATACGATGCACGGTGTGCCGAGGATGCAGAAAACGTCGATGCCCCTGCTCCATGATGTACCGTCCAGCCGAAGGTCAGGTCGCTAACCAGTTCGCAAAGAGATTCATAGTATCCGAATACATGTGTGGAGCTCTGTAACTTGAAACATGTATGGAACTCACCCGAACCTACAACACTGTTTCCAAAAGACTCCAGGCAACACTGCTATGTTTATTTTCAGAACCTCCCGCATCAATGAAGTTACAATTGGCAATGGCGGCAGCGAAGCAAAGTACTGACGACGAAGCAATGCAATCAGAAACAACTGCACTGCGGAATCTGACAGTCAGGCAGATAGAAAACAGCCAAGCGAACGACAAGCAAAAACATGACAGTACATGCACGGGTTTGTAGATAGGTCTTCCCCAAAACTGGTGATCTTACGTCTCGTGTGTATGCCCGGATCACTTCCGAACAACATATGCCGTTATCGTGTCCGCGATTGCAGTGTCCGTTCTGGTGGCATCGTGCTTGCATTGGCTGGCATTTCGTGCCCATTCAGTATTCAGTATCATCTGCTCCTGTTCCCGGCATAATTAATTAGCACTGCTCGTTCTGAACAAACCATCGAGAAACACAGAGGGCTCGTGCATGGCTTGCCGAGACTGAAACATGAGGCTGCAAAACACGTCCTCTGCGCATGCGTAGGTTCAGCGCGGCTCCAACCACAGAAGAGCAGATCCTTCGACGGGAACTTGCCCAACAGGCCACGCGGCTACGGGAATGCTTTATAGGAACTGGAACTTATAGCTATCATCTCTCGTGCTACTACACTCATCACTGCTCCTGATGTGTGATAGCTCCCACAATGAAAATACGTTTACCGTTTCAGCCTTTTTGGGGGTTCGGTGCCCGCTCTCCAGGCGAGGCTCTTGGTGATTAGTCGGTTGGAGGTGAAACCAACTAAACCTGTCAGCCAGGATGGGGTCGCGTGGTTGCTGGGAGATGAAGCAAACAAACTTGTCAGCCAGGATTGGGGTAAAGTCAAATCGTTGTTGGAAGGTACTGGTGCCATGTTGAAGCAACAGAACCTGTTGCCCACAATTGGGGCAAAGTCGTCAACGGGAGGTGCCGCATTTGTGAAGCAACCATACCTGTCGGCCAAGATTGGACTGAAGCCCGTGTGAGGAAGTGTTGGCGCAATTTTGAAGCAACGAAACCTGTCGGCCACAATTGGAGCAAAGTCGTCGTTGGGAGGTGCGGGCGGCCGGCGCTTTTTTGAAACAGCAAAAACCTGTCGGCCAAGATCGGGGTAAAGTCGTTGTGATGCAGTGTTGGCGCCCCTCGATACTCATCAGGAGACTTCGGCTCACTGCATACGTGTGAGTTCCAGGGCAAACCACCGGAAGTAGATGTTGCTGCTCTCAAACTTGCACATGCGCGCCGATCTTTGTTGTTCAGGTTTCAGTCTCCAAGGGCAAGGGCGCATTGCAACTGTGCGCCCAGAATGCATCAGCCGACATGCACACCAACGGCGCACGTCATAGATTCAATATGGCAAAGTCGCGGGTTACCTTTCAATTTTGTCTGACACCATTCGACATGTACGTGGGTTACACTGACGAAAACCGTCTTGCAAAGTCGCACGAATGATGAAATCAGTCCACACAATAGCAGATTTTTCCACATGAAGGCTCCGGGAATGACCCCAAAGGCGGCTGCTGCTCTTTCAAGCCCATTCAGGATGCAGCGCCCCGAAGGTCGTCCTGGTAATCGCCAACGGTTTCCAACAACATACAGCGTTTCCGGGTTGTGCAACCGGTAAATGAGTTGGATCAAATCATGCCGATATGCCTCTTGCCACTTCTGCTGCCTTCCACATCTTGATAAAATGATGGCGAACCGAGGAGGAGCATGACAGAGTGCATATTCGCATCAGCCTGTTTTCGCCCCTGCTGCATCTCAGGCATGTGCAAAGGCATGGGCCACGAACTTGCATCCAAAACATGGCACGCATAGCATGTCTCGTCGAAGCCGGATTCTTTTGCTCGAAAGTGCTCGCGACGTGGGCCTGGTCATGTCGGTCCGTCCGGCAACATGCTGAGCCAGTGCACTGCCGTCGGGAGCACTGCTCTTTGAGGACGAGTCACAGGGAACATCCGTCCCGAAGCCGGGCATGCATCCTCCAAGTTGTTCTGGCGCAATGCCTGGCAAAAGCTCGCTTACTTTCTTGAAGGTAATCGATAGCTTGCAAAGAGAGGAAACGCACAAGCTCATTGACATGTTCCAGGCCCTGCGGCTCGATCTGCTGATCCCAGAGGTGCTGTGCTGTCGTGCAGCCCGCCGTCAGCAGCAGGGTCCGGCTGAAACAACTCTTGTACATGCTGGGCTTGCGGCTTGTTTCGCGCAGAAGCCCTTGAGCCAACATGGCTTCAGGGATCAGTACCCCCTTGCCGGGTGGGGGGGTCTGAGGCCCCCCGCCCCTTATAAGGCTGAATCCGTTTCAGCCACCCGCATGAAATAGAGTAGAGCCTAGCGGGGGGTGAAGGTTCCGTGAAATTTCAACAGGAGTGCTCGGAGGGGGAGGTAGGTAGGCTTGGGTCCGCAGATCTGTCCATGCAGTGAAAATTTCGGCACTCGCAACCGCTTCTTGTTGCTTCGTCTAGCAGCTCCCCCTGGTGCGCCAACAAGCATCAGCTTTTCTGAAGCTTGTTGCCACAGCCCCGCCCCTCTTTCCCCTTGACGCGGGATGCACATGTACTGGAGTCTCTAGGCAAGGTCACATGCTCCTTTCTCGCAAGCACGGCCGTGGCCACAACCCTTTCCCCCAGCAGATTCCTGCTTGCCACCCAACCCTTTCCCCAGGCTGATGTGGAATGATCCAGACATGCTGCACGTAATTTAAATAGATTTCTTTTTAGAAATCTAGTAGCAGCCTAATAAAAAAGGCTACCCTAGCCCCGCGTAGTAAGAATTTAATGGATGTCTAATAGAAATATAGTAGCAGCCCAATAGAGGAGGCCACCTAGCCTCGCATAGGAGGAATTTAGTAGATTTCTCATAGAAATATAGTAGCAGCCTTAAAAACGAGGTTACCGGAGCCCCGCATGAGAAATACGCTGGCGCCCTTACCATCCCGTACTAGCATCGAATGGCCATATGGTGTTGCAAAGCTAGTCTGAAGGCCTTTGAGAGCGCACTAAGCCGTGGAAGATGACTCGCTATCCCAGGACAGCCCTGAAATTTCAAGCCCGACCCCCACCTCCCGGGTCTGAACCCCCACCTCGACCGAAGCTGCCCTGAAATATTTCAGAGCCTCACCCCCCCTCCGTTTCAAGCCACAAGGGGGTGGTGATCTTCAGGGATTCTTGTTAAGTCTGAAAGCTTAGAGTTCAGACACAGGCTCCTTTGACTGGCATGCCCAGCAGATAGCCAGTGCACACAGCGCCGCGGCGTGCCGCAGTTTCTTCATGTAGCTGCGCACGTGAGAACTGGCTGTACAAAGTACGGAACGCATTGTATCTGCAAAGCATCTGCTGTTGCTTTCTCAACTCTTTCACTTAATACGTGTGCAGATTCTGAAGCAAAAAGGTCCAGCCTATAACGAAAACGAAAATGATGGCCTCTCGCTGCAGTAATGCTCGAGCCGCCACATTCAGTTACAGCACAAGCTGCCAACACATGCTCCAACGGGCGCGCACACCCGCTACACGGTGGGGGCGGAGCCATCAGTTGGTACTGGTAGTAGTCTCAGGGCCACACGCGCAGGCTCGGTCGAGAACATCTTGAACCTGAGGAAGGTTGCCCCTGCTCGAAAACACTATACTTCTAATCCCCCAATCCAGCAAGCTGCGAAGCTGTGGCTGGCACTCCGAGATTGCTCTCTGTCTCTTGGTGCGCAGTCACCCTGCCGGGTGGCAAGGCGTGGGCTGAATCCCTCAGAAGCGGAGCTCGGAGCAGTAGGAAGATCGCAGCTTTTTGGAACCCTTGAGGTGTCGCAGAAGGCGTGGGTCTAGTGCTCAAACCTTTCGGCTCCAGAGCTGTAGGAAAATCCTCGAGATCTACGGGATGCCGGATGCCCGTCAGCGTCATCGTCACGTGGTATCCTGTTGCCACAACCACTAGGTCCTAGGCATCCTCTCCATGGCTTAAAAACTCTTATCCAAGCGTTGCAAAGCTTCGGAAAGAGATCACAGAGGTAGCGGCCAAATTGAAAAGCACGGGCCCCAGTTGAGAGTTGGAGGCAGCCGCTGGTTGCCCTTAGGTGAGGTGTGGAGCATGGTAATGAAGTCTTGTCTGGCCAAGACCGTGAACGGGGTTACAAAGCAGCCTCCCACATGACCCAGGGTGGCACAGATGTTGTATCTGATCCTCCACGTCACACGTGCACGCTGGCTACAAAAGGCAACTTGTTTGCCTGGTGCGGACAATCTTGGAAAACCGGACAGTGGTGCTTGAGCTCGTCTCCATTCCGAAGCCACGTCACAAACTCTTGATGCAGCTACAACTGATTTCAAACCCCAGCATCGCAAGCGGATTACCTGCACATGCCGTTTTAGGACTGTGTTGCTCTGGTAGCTTGTGGCTGCAAGCGGAAACTAGCTAGGATTCACAGGTATGAGAGCCGAGAACCCTCAATAAGGTAGATTCGGAATGGAAGCCACTGATTCCCCGGCAACTCCTTGCCAGTAGCCTTCCTGACTCGGCCGTGAGCGGGAAAACTGGATGGGCAGATGGGAATCCTCAATAGTAACCGTACTCATCACGGATGGAAATGATGGCAATTCAATTCCTTATCAAAGCAATGATCGGGTTAGCATAAACAGCTACGAGAGTAGCAATTATGCTAGCAGCAGCTAGCACGAGTATACATAAAAATATGCCCAGCACGTACGAATTGAGCTGCATTGCACTCGAGGCTGAGGGACAGGTGCAGAGCTGCAATTTGGCTTCCGGATCTGTGTATATACATTGTGTATATATATATATATGCACATGTACATATAATATACATAAATTTATAACATACATCATGTGTGTATACCAAGTCTTGGCTACGCTAGCCGGCCATCACGGTGCAAGCAGCATGCGAGTTCCAACAACCCGCTGAAAAAATTCGGTTCTACCCGCACTCCTCTGGAGCACAGGTCCGTGCAAATTGAACTGAACTGAACTGAACGGAATAATGCCCGAATTTGCGCGGGCCTACACTGCTCGTATCTTCTGTTCCGGCTGCCCATATTGCAAACTCGAGCTTTGATGCCCCGGGTGGCTGCTCATGGCGTTAAGACATGGTCAGAGCAGCCTGCCGACGCTCAGCTTCCTCGTAGCGCAACCTGATTCTCTCCAGCTTTCCTGACCGAGCTGAGGCACACGGAAACGGCAAGGTTTCTGCAAAGCTCAACTAAGCAGGCGTCCCTTTGTCGGGAATCCCTATTCCAAGGAGGCTGCTCCTTATGGTCTACGATATTTTCCCCACCCGCTTCGCTGACTAGGTCGCACTGCGATTCCACATACCATCAGGGTCCCTGGTTTCCGAATCTACCATGGTCTGGCATTGTCAGGGAGATTGAGGGAGACCTGCAGTGGAACGGGATCGCAACATGGGAATGCGCACGGTACAGTAATGCCCATGCCTGTTCATCGATCTTGTAGCTTAGTTGGAGCACCACCACCACCACAACCACCACAACACTGTCGCTTTTGCTACCTACTATCGCTGTCTGTCTGTATCGCTCTCTGTCTCTGTGGTTGTTTGCGTGTGCATCTCGCCTTCTGCTACAGCCCGTCTTTATCTCTGTCTGCTGGCGTGCTTGGACTAGCTTGCAAGCATGAGTACGTGCGCGCTTGCTCGCACGCGTACAAGAGAGTGTGGAATAACCAAACCTGCGAGAGCCACAGCAAGCCCATTCGCATGTGCGACGACGGCTCGCACGTGTCGAACATTGGGTCGGTGGATGAAGAGAGCGTGAGCGTGAACACCGTCAGGGCACTTATGTGCACCCGCTGGCTTTATCTCAAGTTAACACGCATCAGCCCTTCCTGCCTTGAATCGGACGTCGCCTCGGCAAAGAAGGTGCCGCAGCGTTTGAGTTCCAGATAGCAAGTTGGTGCTCTCTGACGACACCCGGACCATCTATTCAACTAGCACTTTTTGTGTTCAATAATCCTGTGAATGTCGGACCACAACTTCACCACAAAGAAATCGAAGAACCGTAAGTCTGAGGTCTGCGCGGAAGGCGCACGCTGATCCAAGCGATGATGCGAGGCACCAGGGGCAACTTCAAGATCCTCCAGGGAGTCGTTCTTCTCTTTGCGAAGATAAAGGGCTGATCACTTGGCGATGAGAGATGCAACAGCAAACCGGCCGAGCGGAGGTGTGAGGCATGAAACCGGCAAGCAGAGATGTAACTGAACTGAGAAACGTGGAGCAAGGAATTCACGACGGCAGTTAGCAGCACGACACAACCAACACGTACGGTAGTTCCGTTGAATGCGAGTTCGTGGCAAAACAACTGCGCATGTCGCCCGATCCCCGGTTTGTTTGCACATGTGCCACATACATGCATACTTACCTGCATACGTATACACATACATTTGACAGATGGTCAGCATCGGACTTTCGTCCTGGGGATCAAGGGTACTCTAAGAAGCCATCCAAGGTATCCAACGAGGACATCGGCATTCTTCGATACCTGGCAACATGCCCCTGACTGAAAACAGCTCCAAATCTACACTGGATTGACGCGTTTCTGCCTGAAAAACAACCAGTGGAAGAAATGCCTGGGGAAAGCGAACGAAGCGCTCGATGTATGGCAGCAGGTCATCCATGAACGGGAGGACATAGGGTAAGTGCCTGTGCACAAAATCCATCGAACGCATATCACTGTCGGCCCAGCATCCAACCACTTTTGGCCAAGCGGCGGATGGGCAAGGGGCAGGTGTGGAGCCAGCTGGTCAAGTCGCGGGATCAGGTAGTCCACATATGGCAGCAGCTTGGGGAGGTACGAGTTCTCCTCTGTCAGTCAGTTTGGATTCCTGCATCAGTTTTGTGGACTGTGCCTCGTGCAATCGCGGTGCAACACGGTCGTTCTTGCTCTAATTACCAGCAGCACAAATGCAAGTGCGGCAGTTTCCACCCTCCGACGGAAGGCCGGATGCTCCTCGACGCGTGCTGCCGCAGAGCCTGTGCAGCGAGGTTCTTTCTGGAGGCTTTGCAATTCGCACTTCACCGCCGGCACAAATTTTCGGCCTTCCCAGTTGTCCACAAGGTTGTCCACGAGACACTCCTACAAAGTGCGAGAAGCTCTCTCATGCAAAAAGCAAAGCACGGTCGAACTGACGTTCCACGGAGCACATGAGCGCAGGCATCCTCCATCTTCGCAACTTGCGGCTCGTCAAAGCATTGGTCCAAGTTTGGAAGATTGCGATCACGACCTGCAGCATACTGCATGGCAGACATCTCAGAGGCGGGATGGACATGGCATGACATGGGGTCAGAGCACAAAGGGTGAGAGAGGCACAAAACGCCAAAGATGCCCAAACTCGGAAAGCTCTTGGCACACCTAGTTCTGCATAGGGCATAAGCAAGTCGAAGTGGTCCAATAAAGGCCCACAGTGCTTTGCCAGCACATCCTGAGCTGCTTGCAAGGACTGCTTGCTACATTGTTGGGTATAAGATATCGTACAAAACATGTATATAATGTATAATCTAGGCAACATTTAGTAAACTACTTTTTCTATAGTATACGGTATATTTGTATACAACAAAATAATCTGTATATTTTCTGCTTGCTTTTTCCTCCCGAATGGCTATGTACATATACATATACATATATGTATATATATATATATATATATAATATACATATACACACACGGATACTCCGCGTCTTCTTCCTTTGCCAGGTCAGAGAGCCAGGCAAGTGCCCACTCGCCTGTTGTTGAGCAGGAAATGTACAGGCTCAGTGCTTCTCCGGTCGAAGAGAGGCTGCAAGCGCGGATGCCAACCATGCAACTAGGTGCCTTCAAGCTTCCAGGTGCAGCAGGATGTATGGCAAGTGCGGCTCGATCCGGTCCATTCTTTCCATAATTCGGTCCAAATGCCTCGGATGGTCTCAATATGCATATATACGCGCATAGGCATATGTATATATATATATATATATACATCTCTATAAGTATATGTACATACGTATATATATATATATATCCTGGAAGAGCCAGCGCCTGAAGCTTGGATGCAGAGGAAGGCTCGGCTCAACGATGTCCAGGTACTGATCCAAAATTCGGACGATACCTTGGCTTAACTCTAAACATATTGGGGAAAAGACTTCTTTGTTCCCGGATATGTTGAGTGTTTCGAGAATATACGTCTGGTATTTTTTGTGGCTCCCGGACACCATGCTTTCAACGTCCTGCGCTTTAATTCTCGCTCTTGCACCCGCCCCGTGATGGCCATGCGGATGAGCAGCCGGGCACATGAGGGCCAAGAATGGACAGCCGGGTGTAGATGGAGGGAAGATGGCTCACGATTGAAGTGGAATGCCTCAGCGCTCTGCTCAGACCCCCGGGTCGCTTCCACTTGTTCAGCAGAGGAAGTGGAAAGATATGGCGACTCAACCCATGCCATCCGAGTCGCGGAAGAATCTTCTTGGTCAGAGATGGCTCCACCACCTCAGCGACACTTGGCGGATCTTCGTGGGTTTGGAGTTTGGGATTTAAACTAATCCTTGATATGTTGAGGGATCTAGGGTTTGGGCTCCGATGACCACGCGCTCAACACTCAGTGCATCCCGGGAGCCAACCGGCTTCCAATCGAGAAGCCTGCCCGTGTCTGGTCAGCCAGGTAGGCCCATGGATCTGCGGCAGCCTTGGTCCGACCCCCTATGACCACAAATACAGATGATGTATATCTGCAGGTATGATCAGGTATGCGTGTATGTACACATATGCATGTGTGTACATGTCTATCTATATAATATCATGTACATGTACATATAGCGACACCACTTGAGAATGCAACTTTATGACATTGACTCAAGGAGAGGTTCATACTCGGCGTCCACGACTGCATTCAACTCTCTGAGTCGAGCCACGGCAACCCGTTGGAGCAGGACTCGAATGGCATCGTTTGGCGCGCAGTCCTCCGGACGAGGATGCGGATTCGTAGAAATCCCAGGCAATTGGATCCTCTTCACAACAACCCCTTCTACATGTACATTCCGTATTCGTTTGTAGGCTTATCTACTTCAATGCTTGTCGACCTAGCCATGCTCCTGCAGCGATCGGAAGATCCTCCTGGTGGCATCCTTTGCATCTCTGGCCGTGTGGCCCGAGAGGACGAGATCCACACAAGGCCGAAAGGCAGACAGCAGGTTCGCATACCTGGGTCAGGGTTTGGGATTCCTTGCCGAGTCATTCCGAAACCAATGACATCCGACAGGCTAAGAGAACCCAGCTGCAGCTCGATTTCGGCTAACTTGCCCGCATTGGACCGCCCCTCTTCTTCCAGCACCTGATCAGCCACATCTTGCTGGCTTTTTTTGGACGCTCACACTCGGCAACATGAGTTGGGTTTAGGGTTTAAGGGTTTCGCATCCGCCGATCAGCTGCTAGGGCTGCTTGCTCCAAATCCGGGCGAAACGGAAAGCCTGTTGCAAAAAAGGGTTTCGGCACTCACACTCGGACAATCCAGGCGAGGCATTAGAAAAGGGTTTAAGGGTTTAGTTCAAGTTTAAGAAGTTTAAGAGTCACCGCGACAAGCTGCAACCCACCTTGTACAAGCGACCTGCGTAGAGCATGTCGACCAGCGTGGAAACTGCTATGCCATTTTTCGCCTTCCGTCAGAACTACACTACACTGACTACACCTTCCGGTGTGCTTGCAGCGTGCCCTCTCTGCACGACAAGAGAGCCCCCCCAGCCTTCCCACTCATCGCAGCAGCCAGGAGAGAAGGGCTACGATGCACGAGCTCCAGGGCCTGATCCACCCGAAGAGAAAGCGGAGGCTGCACCCATGCGCTGCGTGCGGCTCCGGCGGCGCTGCCTTCTCTCTTGAGCTGATCGCAGCCAGGCGAGCCAAGACTTCGGAGACGGCATCGGACTCTACCTGGCTGCCAAACAAAGCTCGAGAGCGGAAACGCTTACCGTTGCCTGCGCCGTTGAATGAAGGCCAGTTGCCAGAAGAGGGGTCGCATCCGCCTCGATGATCTTCAAAGCCTGCATCCAGCAGGCAGGACTGCGCGACACACCAAAAGCAGATCATGTCTTGCAACGCATGGACTTCGCAGGACACTTCTGGACTAGAGTCTAGAGATGCCTGGCATTCTGCACGAAGCATCCAACAGCCTATCCGGAGACCCGAAAGCAGCGGTCCTGATCCACCGTAACCTACCCGGAAGTACCTAAGTACCTTTGTTATGCTTCAGACTCTCAATGAAGACCCGGATACCGACCAGAAGCTCGAACAGATCTGCAGCGTCCGCCTGCTCTTCCGAGACGCCCAAAGTTTGCACCAGGCGAGGCCATCGCTGCTTCACTTCCTCGAAGCCGAAGGGCTCACCCAAGAAGTTGCTGTCTAGGACCTCAGGCTTTCTTCCACCATGCATCATGTCCTCTCAGGTCACATTATATAGTTTATTATATCTAGTAAAATGTATATATATATATATATATATATATATATTCTTATACACACACACATATATATATATATACGTATAGGTGTGTATACATATATATATATATATATATATAGATAGGTGTATATATATATATATAGAAATTGTAGTATGCGCCTACCACCCAGTGGCTGCGAAGAGCAGAAAGCTGAGCATAAGATTTCGCTTGCGGCCCGAGGTTCCGCCTCCGGGTGCTGTCGAAGCACTGCCCGCCAGGCATTCTGAAGAGGCACGGTGTGGTCCCTTGGGGTTTAGGATTTAAAGTTTCGGCACTTGGAATTTCCAAGCGAGGCATATGGTTCGAGGTCTGTTGAGCGAGACTGAACTAATCTGGCAGCGAGTTTTCGACCATCAGCCGTCTAGAGTCCAGAGATCCAGCCAACCAAACTTCTTATCAGGTTCTTATTCAATCACTGCAGGACCTTGAAGACTACAAGCGGCAGATCACACATGATGAAGTACGGGAATGGCTAACAGCCCTACAAGATATGACTGCCTGGTTGACCTGGATACGATGCGATCTGTGTAATTCTCGGTTTGGCAGTCGGCATCAAGCCCAATTGGGGACACACCGCTGGGCTCGGTCTGAGTACCAAATTCCGCCGTCACTGCTGGCGGAATTGACAAGCGGGTTATTTCAGCCTTAAGATCTAGCAGCACCGGCGTCAGCTTCGAATCGACATCACTGAGTTTAAGTTTGTAACACGAGCGTCGGGTGTACGCAATGCGGGAGGTCAATTTAATCATCTGTTCCACCATGGCAGGATCGAATCCTGAAATTTCAAACCAAATGGCTTGAGCCGTAGCCAAACCCTAAACCCTAAACCCAAAACTGAAATCTTAAACCCATAATCCCGACTACACCGACACTAAAGCTGGTGCCCGGTCGCTGATTCGACAGCTCCAGCTCTGCCTGCAAAGGATTTCTCGGACTCTCGGACGAGGCTTCAGTTCAGAGAGTTCATGGTGGGCTTCTATGGGGCCGGTTTCAAATCAAAATCCGACCCGCTCGCTCCTTCCCATACAATAATCTGCAGCAAAGTAAGTTCGCACCCCAGCCTGTGGCCGCTACTAACATAAAGAAACTGACGGAGAACTCTAAGGTCCAAAGAGAACCTGCATGCTAGGAGAGGTCGACCTTACCCCGTTCCTTGGATGGCTGTTTAATGTTGCTTCTCCGTAGGGCTTGACTTTTGCTTGGGTTTTTTCTGGTGCGGCGCATTTTAGGGTTTGCCGTTGACAGTCTTATCACTCTGGGGCCTCTAGGGACAGTTTCATCCGGGGGAGGCCATGTGGTGATTGTAAAACAAAGAACGACAACCAAAAAGACCCTGAGCAATCCCATCACCCAGGAGGTGTCCGCCGTTGCCTCCTCAACTCTCCTTTGGGCAGCCGACCTCCGGGAAGCACACAAAGACTTCAATTGAACAGGCCGGTGGGGCGTACTCATAGGATTCAAGCTCTGCACCTGGCAGCAATGGCAGCCACAGCAGCCACTGCAGATGCGGTAAGCACCTTATCACAACAAACGACTTCAGTTATTCTCGAACGTCTGAGCACTTTGGTCCACACGTCTAACTCCCGTGGTTGTGCAACCGATGGGCTTCCGCCGGACCATTGCAAATCTCTTCTCCGTATTTGATATTATTCATGAAACAGCATATACTAGATGTTATGCATTATATATTATATACCAAATGCGAAATACTAGGAATTGTACATTGGGTCTTATATGTATATACTGTCTATGATCTAGTCTTTATTATATTTGGCGCCTCGAGCCCTGTGCAGCCAGGTCACTGTCTCGGCCTCCAGTCCTGCCACTGTGATCGCAGCGGTCTCCGCCGTCGCAGCTAGGGGGGCCGATGCCTCACCGGGAAGATAAAGAGAAGCCTTGAGAACTACTATGTATGTATGTTTTCCAACCCTCTCCGACGCCCGCACTCGGCAGGTCAGGGCATTAGCACAGACATCCTCAAGACCAGCCCGAACAGCACACACTGATGGCCACGCCTCTTGGAGACAAGCTCAAACAGCTGGCTGGTGCCACGGGAGGCCGGGGATCCAAAGAAAGCGTGGAGCAGCTTAGTCAGGTGCCTAACGGTTGAAGAAAGGCTCATACCAGCGATACACCCGTCGACGACAGCAGCTTCACGAGCAGGAGCAATGCCAGTAGGAGGCCACAGAGCTCAGCAGCATTGTTGGAAGCGATGCCGAGATACGCGGATGCTTGAGCGACACACTTTCAGGAGACGTCACCACCGGCGACCGGCCGGGTCAGGCATAGACAGCCACAAAGCAGTGCCAGCGCCAGCATGACCGACAGGGTTGGCGCGAGCCGCACCATCAAAGGTAACAAGCACAGTGCAGGGCTGTATGTATATGCAGATTTATCTACTGGTTGTAAGCCGTATATGTGTATGCGTGTGTCATGTCGCTCTCAACTTATATATATATATATAAACACATGTGTATATATATATATATACATATGTATGTGTATATATATATATATATATGTATGTATGTATGTATATGTGTGTGTGTGTGTGCGTGTGTGTATATATACATACGCAAATATTATATATATAATATATATATATATATATATATATATATATATATATATATATATATATATATATATATATATATACATATATATACATATATATATATATATATACATATATAACATACATTTGCATACACACATCTTGCTTCATGCTACGACCACACAGTGCCTTGGGAGGCTCGTGCCAGGCATGCGGCCTGCTCTTGGCTCTTGGAGATTTATAGACAGAAAGACAGGTAGATAGAGAGCTAGATCGATAGATAACTGTGCTCTTGAGAGTCTCCTTCCGGCCTCTACCATGCTGGCAGCAATGGAGCTCAGGGCTCCGGCAGCATTTTCCGATACGACTCCGACCTGGGACACTGCGACTCGGATACAAGAGCTCTTTTTTTTCATTCATAGTTTCGCAGGAGGTTCCAGTCCACACATAGAATCTGGAATGTACGGCTCAAGAGAGAAACTAGAGAGACCAAAGCTCTGAAGTGAAGGGAACAATCTGTTGACTTTCTGCCCGGCCCGATTGCCTCGGCACGCTCCATAAGCCGCATCTCTGCACGGTTCAAGGCATCTGCGACGGCTTCCGTCATACACCAAAGCTCTGCCTGTCGATCTGGGGTCGCACACACACGCCTACCACTCGTCATGTATGCTAGCGTTGCAACAACTCGTGCTTGTATCGCCAAGCTTCTGCCGTGGCCCGCCGTCTTGTTCGAGGCTGTGCATGTGCCCGGCTGTGCGCGGCCACCATTCCACTAAAGCGGGAACCTTTGCCAGCAGGCGTCCTGTCGACGGCCGATCAATTCTTTGGCGTCCATGCCCCCTTGCTCAAACGTTTCTTCCTACAAATCGCCGTCTCATTCGGGTGTGTCTCAATGCGGTGTACAGCCCAATCATCACTTTCATTGATCCTGGCCCTCATCTTCCGAAATCGAACCGCCTTTTTGGGGGATCTCACGGCTGAAACAAACCCTCACATCCCATTTGAAGTACATGTTGGTATCTACATGCATACACTATACGGCCGAATTTTCAAACCAGATGTAGGGCATTAAAAACCGTATGAGCAGCTCCCCCCCGGGCAAAAGGAGGTTGTGCTTTTCTTGCCGGTCACACCGGGCCCAGTCAGAAAAGGTCAGCAGGAAGTAATAAGTAGAAACATGTATATCATGTTAGACTGTAGTATATGACTCGCTTTGTGGCTGTGGGGGCTACAGTGTGCATGCCCTTGTGCCCAGCCTGCTATACAGCACATGCAGACAACGCCTAGGCAAGCCCGGCTGCCAGTTGCATGCTTTTCAGCGCTCTAGCCGTGAAAACTAATCTCGAAATGTGAGAAGCCAGTGTGAGACTCTCTGGACTCTGAACCCTATGGCCCTATGTGTCCGATCCTCGGCGCGAAGCAGCGGACGCCAAGTGCAGGCTGTGGCTGAGGCGGGGCAGTGTCAGGAAACAACGAATCCCACAAGGAGTGCGCTGCCCGCGCTAGGGAATCCACTTCCTGCCAGGTTCACAAGTCTCTGCGGCTCAGAGCGCCTGCTTGGACAAGACCACCAGCACGGGGAATGCGCTTTTCGGAGGCACAGACACACACCTACTTAGGAAGAAAAACAAGAAGAAGAGGAACACTGAGAGGAGAATGACCAGATACGCAATTTAAAAAACCTCACAGTAGCGGCTCTAATTCTACGAGGGGCACACCTACAATACGAATAACACGAATCGAAATTCTAGTACCAGCAGCAGCTGGAGGCAACATCCGGTGATACACAACTTTCCAGGAAAGCCAAACAGAAGCTCGGAGAGTCGTAGAGCATTACATATGTTGCCGTTCGGTACAGTGCGTGCACATGCTGTCTTGCCTTCAGTGTTGAAGCCAGCATCATGTATTAAAAATATCAGTATATCTCCACACCAATTCGGGTATGATGTGCAAGACTTAGGGGACCTTTTCAACTATGATAGGGTTCTAGGACTCCAAAAGGGATTTAAGCTTACCTACTCAGCCAGCTAAGAACAGCTCTGAACTTCAAAAGTCCGAAGCTGATCCCAGGAGCCTGGGGCAGCTGGGGCCACGCCGACTCAGACTGTGAGGGCAGACGGGAGTGTCCCACATTGCGGGCCGTTTCGGGCCCTAGAGGCTGTGACCTGAGATTTCGAAACCATGAGACATCTGAAATCGGCTTATGTGTTAGTTTGGGCTTTTCGTCAAGCAAGGGCTTGAGGTCCGAAATCAGGCGAAACGACGCTGCCGTGACCGACTCCATGCCATCAAGCCGTTCCTCCACGAAGTCGCGGATCGCCTCCATGTTCTGGGCGAGGGCCGTGGCGATGCGCCCCTCGACTGGCGCGACCTTGGGCTGCACAACTTGTTGGATGCGTGGGGATCTCTTGACTTTGTGTCGGGGGTCCCTGTACTCTGAAGCTTTCACACGACTTAGCTCGAGAACCGACTCAGGACGGCACCGGGAGAAACCAATGCGGCTGGCATTCGACTGCAAATGTCAGACGCATCATCTCCTCTCCTCGAGCTGCGGCTACCAAGAAGACTCTCCGACTGGGCCTCGTCCCAACCCTAAAAACCGGCACCCCCGCCCCCGCCCCCCCGCTCCCACAACCCTTTGCTGCAGGCTCGCTTGCAAGGACGCCTGGTAGTTTGCCGCTCTTCCGCCAGTTAGGACTGTGCTCGTGACAGTGCCCCTAGCTTCTGAGCCCCCACAACCCTAAACCCTCAGGCCCTGAAGCAATTCAAACCCTCAACAACATGTGACACCGCGGAATCAAGTTACTGTCGGTGTGTAGAGCACAGGGTAATTAGCAATTTAATAATTTTACTGTAATGTCATACAAACCATGACAGCTCCTGGTCCGGCGCATCCCTGGAGAGGCTGCAGTCGCCAAACACCCTGGTAATGCACGAAGTCCCCACGTGCGCCGAGGACGTTTTGCATGGTGATATCCTAGAAGCAGATGTGGGTTTCGACTCACGGACTTGCTACTGAGACAGAGGAGTGACATGCGAGCGTCTGCAAAAACCACAGAAACTTTACCTTCACATACAGAATGTAAGAACCCAATACCATAAGCCACCATACTGCTCAGAACAGACGTGTGAGCTCCATGAAACTGCAGACAGAAAGAGTGTCGTCGGACAATCATCAACCCTCCACGACTCGGAGAGAAAGCGCCTGGATTCAAGCTGCATATGCTCTGAATCCGACCAGGCAGCTCGAACCGGAACTCCAACAGCCGCAACCGAGAATGGCCTGCACACGGCGTGCGCAGGTGCCATTATTCCGGAGCAGCAGGCGCTTCTAAACACTCATGGGCACAACGCGCGCTGCCGTGCCTGGGAAAAACGTCCCGGATGAGCTTCTCTTTTCTGCCATGGGCTCTGACCTGCCCAAAGCCATGTCCGCAGCCCGGAGTCTAAGCCTTTTGCCTTAACCGGGCTTTTCCCTCCTTCATGCTCTCGCAACTCGAACATGCTAGACGAGGTCTCTGTCTTTGGGTGCACAACACTGGACTACTACAGTAACTACTCGTAGAGCGCGCGTCAGAAACTTCACATCCTTGCAACGGCCTCTGAGCTCAACATGTGAGCCGCATCCATTCTTTCCCCGCAAACCTGCGAACTTTCATGTGGAGGACAAGGACGGGCATTATTGTGTCTGTGTGTGTATATATATATATATATATATATATCTCTCTCTCTCTCTATGTGTGTATATATATATGTATATATATATATATATATGTATGTAATATCTTCATATCTATATAATTAGATAGGTAGATAAATAGATACAGATAGAGGGATAGGCAGACAGTGCCTAGTACACGATGTACAGCCCAGAAGATATAATATGCAATATTATAGAACATGTTCATTTCTGATGGGATGTTTACTGCACTTCACTGCCACACTGCTTCCAGGGCATTAAGCTCTGGCTTCCGACCTTCACGCCAGATCTGCAAACTCCTTCGGGGTGCAATCGAACATCCAGCGTCATCCCAGCTTGGAAGTAGAAAGTCTTGCCACAAATCGTCCACGATGCCTGTCCTGTCGAACAGCGCTCCCACACCAATACGTGCAGGGAAAAAGGCAGTGGCAGACGCAGACTTCCACAAGGCAACTTTCGACCACTCGACCATAGCACGAGGACTGGATGGAATCCCGTTTGCCCGCTGCCTATTTGCCACAAGCGAGCACCACCGTGCCGATCCTGATCATGAGGTACTGCTTCGATCTGCTTCGAGTGTTCCATCAGGGATACTTCATCTTGAGTTTCAACTCCGACAACCAAGTCTCGCCGTTAAAGCCCAAGTCAAGAGTCTCTACTCCCATGGCGGCTGCAGCCACACATGACATGCAGATGCACACGGATAACATTTTCCATCCGTCGGATCCTTACTGGATCCTTCTTGCTTGATGTGGGTAGGTTTGCAGTGCGCACCCCTCAATCACAGCAATGCTACCTAAGCGAGTACACATGCAGATACATATTAACATTATGGACTACCTAGGCGAATCCATTTTGCGTGCACGCATGCGCATGATGTATACAAACGACGTGCGCATGTCTCGTTTGAAGCTATCGATAGGATGTGACTAAAGTAGGTTAGCTTAGCGGGAGTTTGCTTCGAGTAGAGTGGACTCGACTAGTTTTGACTAGCCTCGACTAGATTAAAATACAGACAGAGAGACAGGTAGACAGATCGACAGAAAGAGAGGTAGAGGAACGGAGAGATACCAGCAGATGCCACTGCCGAGCGGCTGGGCCCTCCACGATGGAGTTCTCGGCCAGATTGGGCACCACGTGGGCCAGGCCCTCGTAGTCGGTAAGCACCTGCTGCTTCGGAGCATCCAGTACCTTATTTTGGGGTCCTTATACTAAGGATACTACTATTTAGAGTAATCCTACTATTTAGGGTACTATATTAAGGTAAGGCCTCCCCTCCCTCCCATGGACGGGGCCGGGCCTCCCAAACATCGTTCACGCTTGCACGGATGTCGATGCCAGTGTAGATCCGACGCGCATTTCCTGGGGCGTCCTCGACGCGTGTCACCGGCGCGCTGCCAGGAATCAAACAGATCCTCAGTTCTCCGCATCATGATCAGCTTTGCTTATCACTGCCAAGTCTACTGGAAGGTGCTGCGCGCCCGCATCATGATCAGCTTTGCTGATCACTGCAAAGTTTACTGGAAGGTGCTGCGCCCAGCGGCGTGTCTGTCAAAACGGATGGATTTGCTGCATCGGATCCTTTGCCTCCTGCCTGGTCCTGCAGCTGCAAAGAATCATCACCCCCTGCAAGCCTGAAGCCTGCTGCTTCACAGAATACTCTTCCGGTCTGTCGCAGGCGACAGACTCAATCTGTAAATTCCACTTTCATTTATTTATATATATATATATAATTATCTATATATCTCGCTCGCTTTTCTCGCTTTTCGGGCGTGGAGATCCGAAGGGCGGACGCGGCCCATGTCTGCAAATTTAATTAAGGAAAAGGTGACACAAAAGACGGCCCCGTTCTTGTGGCCGTCCGAGTATCCTGTGAGTGCCTGAAGTCCACGAGTGCACTGCCGGCAGGCCTCGAACTGTACTGAGGCAGGCAGAGGACGTGGAGGAAGCAACAACGAAAGCAGGAATTCCCCGGTAAAGCAGGGACACAAAGAAACGGAGCAGATCTCCGGCAAAGCTGGCCGATGAGAGACTGTTCTGAAACCCTGAGGAGGGGGCATCAAGAGGACAAGGCATCTCAAGGCTATCCAGCCCTGCCAACACGAGGAAGAAACAGACATCGGTGAAGGGACCATCAAAGAATGACGGTAGGGCACCTGCCTCCACCTGTGCAATGCATTCCTCGTGGGAGAAGAACACTGAGTTGGTACCAAAGACCAAGTCAGAACGTGCCTCCCAAGCACTCGGAGCAACCACACAAGCCGTGCGACCATCCAAGGTTGAGATGTCGGGAGCCGGAATGGCAATCAAATCCAACATGCAGAGAGAAGTCTCCGCATCCTTGAACGTATAAGGCTGAGGTTGGGAGGCTACCGGATCAGGGACAAGCCAATCCACCAAGTCAGCTTGAAGAAGCCATGCGAGGCACCCTTGCAGTCGTCGGCGAGCCTGTGGGTAGCACATGCTGGTGACTTGCGGCCAAGAAGTGACCGTGATCCGAAGGCGGTCGGATGAGGCACACACACATGAAAATGCCGTTCGGAGTCTGTCCCAAAGCGCAGAATCCGAAATTCGCAACAAGGCACCGTCGAAATCCAGGAGTGAGAGGCACTCTAGGATCTCTGCCACCGGCCTGTGGCGCTCCTCCTCAACGTCTAGAACTGCCATGGGAAGGCGCGGACCTTCAGCTTGTAAGACCGGTGCTTGAGTCTTGCCTGGATCCGCAGCTTTGCGGTTTCCTAGGCCTGGGCCCACGGTGCAAGAAAACCCCGCCTGGAGAAGACTGAGTCTACATCTGGGAGTAAACCGTAGGTGCCGACAGAGTCTGACATTTGTGCTGAAGTGTCGGAGACAGCACTGGCATTGAGTTCCCGTAAGGAGGCCTCTACCCTCCATGACTCTGTGGTGTGCCTTGAAGGCGTGCAGGCTCCATTGAGCATAGCTGGCAAAGATTTTGCGGCACGGAGCACAACAGTGTCGGGCATCGGCACTGTCAACGGAAGGACTTGTGAGAGTGCCTCCGAGTCGTCGCAGTTGGCGGACAAGAAGGCCGGCACTGTACTGGCGAGCCGCAGTCCAGGCCTCCAGACGGACCGCTTGGGCTTGTGCCCTCCGCAGCAGATTCTTCCAACGTCCCGGATGCTCCCACATCAACTGGAGCCAGTCCTGCCAGCAACTAGTCCATGGCCGGCTTTCCTGGTCCACCAGTCCGGCAAGCCAGGCAAGCGAGTCGCGGACCTCCTCCAACCACTTGCCATCCCAGTGAGCCAGAGCCCAGATTTCAGCAACCCCAAGGCGGACGCATGGCAAGAGCTGTCGAAGCCGGGAGACATGTAAGAGGACCGGCATGGAGGGCAGGCCCAAAAGAGCAATCACACGGGCCGGCCCCTGATGGAGCGCCTCCTCGAAGGAGTACATGGGACGTAGCATTTTGGCAGCCATGAGCGTGTGGGCATTGGCCAAAGCACGGACGGTGGCCGCATCCACCTGAATCCAGGTACCAGCTCCATGCAGGAGAACGGACAGCACAAGCGACTCATACAGTATTGCCTTGCTGCGAAAAGGCACCAAGGGAGACTGGAAGATCTTTTTCCTGTGCTTCTGAAATGCTTCATTGGCCATGGCAATGCGATGTCTGGCCTCACGCAGGGTGCGTCCTGTGTGATGTATCAAACCACCAAGATGGCGATACTGTGTGACCAGGCGAACCGAGATAGGTCCAAGGTGTGCCGAGGATATTCGGAGGCACGGGTCGGAGTCCCGAAAGGTTCGGGCACGCACCGCTCGCGATCCTGGCCCTGTTGGAACCATGACAACCTCCGTTTTCCCACGGGAAAAGTTTGGGATAAGGCCCCTGCTCATGCAGCAGTCGACAAGTGCCCGCACGGCTGCACTTGTGGCCTCTGGGAGATCAACTGCCCGACGAGTCTTGATCATGAGAGATAGGTCATCCATCCAGGTGGAATCCATTATGGGCAGGATCGGGTCAGCCGAGCTGTATTGGCTGGGCGAAGCTACTTGTCCTATCCATGTCGGGTCCCAAGGGAGGTGCACCAAGATGTTCTGTTGCAGGAGTTCCTGCTTGAGCTCACGGAGCACACAAGCAAAAAGGTACCCAAAAACAATGTCTGCACAGTTGTCTCCCGGGCGGCTTCCGACACCAGTCTGAACGATGTCCCGTCCCCTACGGAATCTGAACCAAGTCGAATCTAAAATTTCCGACAGAGACATGAAAGTCCAGGGAGCTGCACCGGCAGACTGAGGAATGGACTCTGTCTGTAGATGCCGGTGCAAGACTGATAGCACATCAGGTGCCAACTTCAACCGAGCTGCTACAGCGGCGAAGTGTTCATCATTGAAACCAGATCCTGTAAACAGAGGCCGAATGACGCGGTAAAAGGCCTCGCGGAGGTCCAAAAACACCAAGGAATAGCTGAAGTGTCGGCGTTGGGAGCCGCTTTGGAAGAGGCGAATTGCCTGGGAAGCAAGAGTGACTGGCATGCAAGGCAGACCTCCAATTTGCAGGGGGGAGGAGATACTGGCGAGAGGAGCCGTGGCTCTCGCCCTAACCGCCCGATGCAGGGATTTCCCTATGCAGGAGGAGACCAGAATGCCACGATGTGCCTCTGGTTGCAGAGGGGATAGCTTGCCTTTCCAGACTGTCTGTAGTGCCCCTCCCTTGAAGGAAAGCGGCTCGGCAACTCTCATTCCAATCTTGAGCGCCAACAGAGCAAGTGGCCGGGAGGCGGAAGCTGCAGCAAAATGAATGATTTCGCCAGGCAAACCGTCGACTCCGGCTGCCCTGCCGACACGGGTCGCCCGAAGGGAGTTCTCTAGTTCCCAGCGAGTGGGCAGGTCCTGGCAGGCTATGTGGTACTCGTCCAGGTCACGGGCCTGTTGCTGCGCAAAACAAGAACGAGCTAGTTCCTGAGGCTGGACAATCCTGCCATCTTCCAGACCCGCGAAGTGTCGAATCCAGATGGACTCTGCCTCAGCCGGTGTGGCAGCTGGAGCGCCTGTAGCGTCTTGGACCATGGGAAGGCTTTGTTTGTCGCGACGACGCCGTTTCGGCGGACCCAACAGAGGTCGTAGTGCAGATACTACCTCTGAGACAGGGGCAGAGACAGCATCACGTGCAGCCTGGTCGATCCTGTCGCTCTGGTCTTTGCGAATTGCTCGCCTGAGGGCCTGCTTGGTATCTTTGATGTCCTTGGCAGTTCCCTGCAGCAGTCGGAGGAGGGCGGCGGACCTTATGTACGCACATAGCTGGCCGATGCCAGCCCGTACTTCTCTGCGCCAGGTGTAGATTGCGCCACGGACTGACGCAAGAGAGATACCTTGACGCAACCTGAGAATTTGCCTGCGGAGCCAGACCCGGCGTTGGCGGAGGAGCCAAGTGTCTGTACTAAAGTAAGATGAGCGACACGGTCCTCTTTTAGCCGGGAAGGCTTTGGCAAGTGATTGCTGAAGATATTTTTCTAGAATCTGCCAATGCCGATGTACATTGGTGTTCCAAGAGGGAACCGGGGCGCCTTGCCAGATGGCAGCCAGGGTGGCCTGACCTTCAGGCGTCGCAAGCGCATCCCTGTCAACGGCACAGGAGCGGATAGCAGGCTGCGCGACTAACTGCCCAAAGAAGGCAGTATCTAAGCGCACAGGGAAATGGTCTACATGTGATTGTCCCCAATCGAGGTCATGGTGCACCTGTGAGGATCCAGGACCTGCTCCCCAGGAAGAGGGGACTGCGATGTAGTCTATGCGTGACGAACTATTACCCCGCGGGGCAATCCACGTTGTGGTGGGTCCGTGGTGACACTGTCGAAATGTGCTGGGAATCCAAAGGTCATGTCGGTCGAGGAGGAGTCTAAGACCAGCTGGAATTCCGCCCTGCCCCGGCACTAACAGATCCCCAATCCTATGGGCAATCGACGTGTCAAAGTGGACATTGAAGTCGCCTAAAAGTACGACATGACAGCCGCGGCTTGTCCTAGACACACGTTCTGCCAAATCGCGCCACCATGATTCTCGGGCAGGTGAGGCAACTGTTGGCGCGTGAATGCCGATGAACAAGACCTGAAAACCTCGGCGACTCAGGCGTACAAAGAGCGATCTCGGGTCGGCGTGAACGACGAGGAGGTCGGCAAGCTGCACACGCATAGGGCTGTGCTGACAAGTAGTGAGCGGCAGCGTCTTTGCAAACCACAGTTCTGTGCCAAACATGCCTTGCTCGTCGCGTCCTGAGCATAGGCGTATATGGCTACGAGACTCAATTGTCTCCGAAGCAAGAGAGCGTGTTTCTTGCAAAGCAGCAACTGTGATTGCATGGTGATCACACTGCTCGCGCAAATAGGCTGCACGCCCTGCGAAGGGCACATCGGGGTGTTGTGGCATGTTCTCCTCCGACGATGCGAGAGTCTGAACGTTGACTGTGAGAAGGCGGAGCCGAAACGAGACAAAGTCTGATGCAGTGCCTGAACCATCATTCTCCGGCAGGCCCAGCCACGCCCGACTTTCAGCTTCTGTCGGGGGTTCGGCATCAAAGAATCGGTCCTTGTCAACCAAATCCTGACCAAAGTGTTGAGGCCATGCCGAAGGGTTGTGGACTGATTCAAGCAGAAGCCACCACCAGTCAAGGTGACCCTTCTGGAGAGACTCCGCGATGCCAGACTGGAAAGGGCTAATGGGGCAGCCTTGGTGCCTACACGCCCATTTTGCAAGCCCATCTACACACTCATTGGCCGGATGGCCCTGATGAGATCGGACATGGTGCACATCCCGAACACATACAGCAGAAGAGACAAGGGCCTGATGAAGGGCACGGATTCCTTGTGTCAACCTGCATCCTGCCGGGAACCCAAAGTGTCCGTTGGCTTGGTTGAGTGCAACAAGACAGTCTGACCAAATGTGTATGGGGATGCCTTTGGGACCTTGAACTAGCCAGGTCATGGCCCAGAAGAGAGCGCAGGCTTCGCCTCGTAGGGCATCGTGGCACGTGGCACCAATATAGCCTTCCGAGGAGTTATCAATAATGACCTGGCCTGCAGCCCAACCAAGCACATGCAGGTGCCCAGACTTCCAACCCAAGACTAAGAAGGCCCAACTGCTGAGTGAGCCATCGAATGACCCATCAGTGAAGAGCTCAATGCAATCAAGGGAGATTAGGAGCTGGGCAATGTCTGCAGGTGAGTGGAACTGGGAAAGATGCCGAAATATCTCTGCAACATCTGGCAATGGGATTTCTGCTGGAATGTACCGTGACAAATGCCATTGTGCAGAACGAAAGAAGGGCAGGACATCGTCGAGCGTGCAGCCTACCCTGAAGTTAACACTCGACAAGTCAAAAGTCCTTGCCGTGGGCAGATGATCCTCTAAGCAGAGAGAATTCGCCCGAGAGTCAGCGGCCTCTTCGTAACTGAGGTCGGCACAGCTCGTATGGGTGCCACTGCAATGCATGGATCTGCAGCCGGGGGCAGCTGCGGGGTTGTCAGGAGCTGGTGTTTGCCGCCCGGAAGGTACAGAAAGGCCTGTCCGCTCAACCAGGACATCGAGAAGGGTGCTTGCGAGGTAGAAAGCGGCGTGGGCAGTCTCTTGAAGGGACTGTGGAGAAGAGTGTCGTGTTGCGGGTGGGCAGAAGAGGATGAGAGCACAGAGGTGTCGGACAAGGGCCCACTTGTATGGGCTTCAGCACAAAGACTTGTCGTCCACATGTTTGCTCGATCACCCTCTACGTCACCTATCCCAGTGCTGACCCCTATTTGCATGGCAGTGGAGGGGCGAGACAGGGATCCCATCAAGGCAACGAAGAGGATCCATCTCGCACCAAGAACAGGCACAATGGTTCTTGTGAGGGCAGAACCGGCTCGACTGCCTGCAATGCCAGACAAATTCACACTGCCTGTGGAGCCACCTGTGCCTGCATCATGCAGTCCACTCTGAGGATTGTGCGGGGGAGCACCCTGCTCTGAGTCATCACCGTGATTCACAGGGATAACGTCGTCTTCCTGGACGGGCCATGGCCGCAACGGCGCGGGCTCAAAGGAGACCTGGAATACATCCCCAGGACTGAACCTAGCAAAATTTTGCAAGGGAGGAGGTTCTGGCCTACCACCGACACAGCTGACCCGAAGCCCGGGTGGGCATCTTGGCTCAAACCGGCGTGCGAGTTGTCGCAGGTCAATGACTCCTTCAACATTGGCTCCCCATTCGATACCCCTCGATATGGGTCGCAAGTCGAGGATGTATGGAAAGAGTCCGTGTCCAGCGTCCTCAAGCCTAATACCAAGCGAGGTTGTGATTATCACGGCACTAATCTCAAAACCCTTGATAGCAAGGTCCTGTGGGCCAGAGCGACTGGGTCGAATCCGCAATTCACTCACTGGGATACGAAGAGCTTGGGACAGGTCATGTCGAAGTCGATGGCGCCTGTCGCGATCAAAACGGAAGCTTCTCGGGTATCCGTCCGTAAGTAGCCAAAAGAGATCGAAACCTCGCGAGGTTAGTTGCTCTCTGGCCCGCCAGATGGCAGCATCATGGAGCATGTCATCAAGCGTGTGAAGCACCGCAACATCATGGTGAATCGGCTGGATGGAGATAAAATCTCCATGGGACAGCGCAACCGTGGCCCCATCGGCAAGAGGCCAGGGCATATCGCGGACATAGACACAAGCAGTGCTAGTCGCCGGCAGATCAATGAGGGCGAGCAGCAAATGTCGCTGAGCAAAAGGTGGAACCTCTGCAGCGAAGCAGGTGTTGTCGGCAAAACCATTTTCACACAAAACCGTAATTCCAGGACTATCCCAAGGAGGTAAAGCAATGATGGAAGCCTGACCGGATCGGGTCTGATGGCTTACCGGCAAGAGTCTGGGAAACCACTGTCTCCTCAGGGGATCTCTGGCCTGTGTCACCTGCTGCAAGGTGCGAGTAACCGCCGAAGGAACTTGAATCTCAACAGGAACATGCTCAGGAGTATAATCTAAAGCATGTACAAGGAAGACAGCTAGGACCTTATCGGCATTATGTGCATCGGCGTGATCTGCTGGGGGGCCCCCGTGCGTGGCCTCTGGTTCCTCAGTCGGGTGCGGAAGATCTGCAGCAATGCCCGGTGGGCCATGACCTCCACTGCTGTTAGGACTAGAGGCTGTCATTTGGGCCTGAGAATCCTGCGCTGGGGGGTCTGCTGGCGCAAGGGTGGCAATTATGATCTGTCCCGGTGCAATCCAGAGTACACCCGGGGCTTCTGGCCTGCCGTCGAGGAGGAGTCTCCACCCGAGTGGTACACAGTGTTGGAGCAGGGCGAAGAGAGAATCTATAAGTGCACAATGCCAGATGGCTCCCGGGGCACCGGGAGGCGGATGCGCCACCGCAAGCACATGTGGACAGGTGACGCCCAAGACAGCCACATCGGGAGGGCTGGGGTGTGCTGCAAACAATCTCATACGCATTGGGTCTGCCCCAGTGGCTCCCGCGATAGTCTCCCTGTAGCGCATGGGTGAGCGAAGCGCATCAACACAAAGTCTTGACATGCCTTTGTGCACCACACAATGCGCCGCAGGAAAGGACGGCGCAGGAAGAGCGGCACCCGGGTCCCATGCAGCGCGAGACTGAAGAAGTTCTCCTAACGTGGAAGGATGGGTGAGGCCCTGTCCCACATGTTGGAACGTAACCAGGGCCCCCGGGAAAAGGTGGACGGGCATGTCTTCTATAGGTATGTGGTCAACACTATAGAAAACCTCATAATCAATGGGCTCTAAAAGGCCAGCAATGGAAATGAGGTCGTGCTTGTTGACGTAGGATGGCGTCTGAGCGACAAACAGTCGACCATCAATGGCTGAGGTGTCAAGACAAATGAGATTGGCCCCGGCAGTCCAGGGAGGCTGTGCAATGAAGGTCGCAATGCCATGGGAGGGTTGAGGCAGAACGGAAAGGAGCTGCGGAAAGGCCGAAGCTCCCTCACTGTGACGCACACACTGGATCGCCTGCACGAGCTCGTCCTGTGTGGCCGGCAACGGAAGTGCGACGAGCATTTCTTCTGCAACATACTCTAGGCGCAGCACTGCACATGCTATTGGCGTAATTGATCCATCTGTCCCCAAAATGTCTGGTGACACTGCGAAGCCGTCGCAAGTGTCTCGATTCTTGCCTGGTCCTGCCCTGAGGCGGTGTCAGAGTCTTGCACTCACGGGCTCTTTGTCGATTCCCTGCTGTATACCACCAAAAAAGGACTGTGACTAGGGAGCCAACAAGCAGGATGGCAAGGGTCTCCTTCAGATTTGGGGCCAAAACTTGGAGAGAGACCGGTCTGTCGGGCAGGAAGTGCATGCGGCTCTCTGCTCCATGTGGCTGTGTGAGGCCCAGTGCAACTGACAATGCTGTGCCAGCAAGAGAAGTACTGGATCCAGCTGGCGGACTATTTCTTACTTGAGCGGGGCCTTCTGTTCTGCCGCGGGGACCTTGATCGTGAACGGTCAAAATCAGCATCTCTGTCAAACCTAACGGGCACCGGTGGCGGAAGCCCACGGGGAGGCGCGTCAGGATCAACAATGGCATCTGGCAGCTCATCATCGAGACTGGCCTGCGATCCTACTTCCGACTCTTCCCCAACAACTTCCGAGGACGAGGATGAGTCCTCCTCGTCGGTACTCCACGGGTGGTCAAGTTTAAACCCGAAAACAACCACATCCCCTTCGGAGAGATGCAAGGCACCTAAGCGATTGGGGCGCGGAGTCAGGGCAATCCTAAACCCAGGTGGGGGTCGAAGATGCAGGTAATTCACGAGGAAGTGCGGATCAACATGGGAGGATGGGAGGTACACGTGTGCCACCGGAAGGCCTGCCTGTCTGGCATCTAGAAAAACAAGGACGCATTCCCTTTCCCTGAACGGTCTGAGAGGATAGACTGCAAGCACCGCTCGGCAGGGAGCCCCTCGAAAGTCGACATCAAGCAAGCGGCCTTCTGTAGGCGTGATGAAGAGTACTTGCGTGGGATGCCTATCAACCAATCTGCTAAGAACCCCAAGGTGGGAACTCCAGGTACCCGCGAGGCACTGTAGAGTGTGTGTCGGTCTCCATGTAAGGTCAAGACTGGACGATCGACAGCGGCCGATGGCAGGGATGGGGCCGCGAGCCACCACTGTGGTCTGTCGAACCTCGCTCCTAGAGTGCAACACCATTGGGCAGGCACACCGGGAGGTTGGAACTGTATAACAGCCCCGAGTGAAGCAAGGAATGAGTCCCCGGCCTCAATTGCCCGGGAATGGCCTTGTACATAGATGCTGCAATCACCTGAATCATGAAAATCAGCCTCACGCTGGCACTCAAAATGTGAAAGCTGTTCATGTGTAAGGCGTGCATACACCGGCCCTCCGAGTGCTCAAAAACCACTACCTGATGCCCGGAATAAGGCAGCCACGAGGGGGCCAGTATGACAGAGGCAAAGTCAGGTCCAAGTTGCGGCACGGTAGGTGCAAGGACTGCGCAGTGAGGAAGGCGGAGCGCCTGGATATTGTCCCGAATCGCATTGAAGAAGGTAGCGAGGCTGAACGGGGGCCGCAAAGTTAGCCTCAGAACCTCGGCCTGATACTGTGGCGCCAGCAGGTAACAGACCCCTTCAAAGGAAGGGGGGTCGGGACCTCATGAAGTGGAGGAATGGGCAGATCGTCAGAATTGGTAACAGGCCTGTTGGTAACATGCGCCTGGACCTGGTCTGCGAGTTGGATTCTCAAGTCATCCTGCGAAACAGCCTGGAGAACATCACCTATTCCCGTCGCTGGGCCGCCATGTGACTCAGGAATGAGTGCTGCCCGTTGCTGAAAGTCTCGGACTGAATTATGCCAGGCTTTCGGTGCTGCCCACAGCTGTACAGGCAAATTCCAGAATAGGAGGAAGGAAAGCAGTCGTCTCCATCCATTGCAGCAGCTGGGACGTTGCATATTAGGACCTGCCTGGGGTGCCCGACGTGTTCGCACAAAGGCTATGTCCGCCCGTGCAGCAAGCCTGGGAGAACACTGTCTGATCGGCAGCAAGAGCGACAGCGGTATCCCAGACGAGATATGCGCAAGAGTACGTCCAAGATAACCTTTTCTTGCGCAGCAAGGCTGCAGAAGAAGGCGCACCAGCACACACCCAAGGGCGAAGGCAACCTGACAACAGAGCGCATGCAAAAAGCTGCACATGTCATCAAGTTGGCCGCTAGCAGACAGGCTGGCCGTGTTGAGGTGCGGGTCGGGTTTTACAAGGAAGGGACCTAAACCCAACAGAGGAAAGGGCCTAAACCCAAGAAGGGGGGAACCCGGTGCAAGAACTAAGGTGCAGGTGGACGTCCCAGCGCCACCGATACGTCTCTTGGGCACACTGCACGGAAGAAATGCACACGGTAAAGGTGCAGAAGAAATCAATGCACCTGGATCCCAGAAAGGGTGAGAGGAGCCCAAATGGACAAATCCACAAATAGTGGTGTACCCCGAAGCATCTTTGCAAGCCCAGCAATTCGCCACGAAGACTCCGGATGGGGGACCAGGAACTGAATGTCTCCCACAATCCATGAGTGAGACTATCCAGGTCTCGGTCGCAAAACTGTGTGGAAGGCAGCACGATGCAGAGAGAGCCTGATCCGGGGGCCATGTCTCAAAATACTGTACTAGAGGGCCTTCACCTAAATCGCAAGCAAGACATAGTGGTGGCTCTGTACAGACGGTGTGAGACCGGATGTGTCGACAGCAATCTCTGTCAGAGACACCAGGGAGAGCGCCTTGCCCACGGGAATCTAGTATGCTGGGTGTCCCCAGTGACACCCAGATACATCGTCCCCCTAGGCGGCTGAGCCCCCTATGTCGCTGACATGATTCGCTTGATACATCCCTACGTCCGTTCAGGCATTCACTTCCACTCGGCCAAGTTGGCCTCACTCGACATTGCCGGGCGGACCTTTTGTGGCCTGCAACCTTCCCAGCTCCTCGGGAGTGAGCCCGTGTGCTGCGTCTGAGTCCTCGTCGTCGTCCGCCACGAAAGCCGTAGGAATTGGCCCAGCAGGTTTTGACGTCTCCGGGGCTGTAGTTGGCAAGCCAAAAGGATTGAGAGCTCGGCGTGCATGGAGTTGCTCTTCCAGACTGGCAGCAGGCACCGGTGCCGATGTCGGCTCCTTCGGGCCATGTGACGGATCCGCCCTGGTGCCAGGTGCCACATGACTCGGAGGGTACGGTGAGGTCCGTCCAGCTCCGAGAGTCCCATGTACTGCCCCATAGGTCGAAGGGATTCCAGTAGGTGCCGGTGACGTAGTGGAGTAAGGATCCGTCCCCGCCCGGGACGAGGGAGCAGAATAGGTAGGAGCCTGACCAGCATTCGGGGAACGTGGCACCGTGTGTGCCAATCACGAAGGTGTGACGATGCCTGGGGGGCCTGACCCCAATGTTCTGGATAGCAGGGCCTGAAAGTCCTGCCCGGGTGGCTTCTCGGACATCCATTCGTCGAACATCTCGTCCACTTCTCGCCGGCCTCCATAGGTACAGGGGCCGAAGCCTCTGCCTGCTGTCCAGTGTAGAAGTTTCGGACACATTCCCTTGCTGCTTCTCGATGCATTTCCGCTTCCTGGAGTTCTCGGGCAAGTTTGGTCATCCTCGTTTGAAATCTGCCCTTTTCTCGCATCAAGGCCTCCTTCATCTTCTTCTGGTACTCGTTCCACAAAGTGGTGGTACGTGCTTGGGTCTTGTGGCATCTGTCGACTCGGCCTTCCGCCTTGCTGAAAGCCGTAAGGGCCTCCTGAAGGCCATGAAACACTCCCGGAGTCCGCCCCGTGTTGTCTTCGGTCTCCTTCTTCGGGGCCTTGGCTCCTGAACTCGACGGCATCGCGTCGAAGGCCGGAAAAGCCGGTGTCGCAGGCTGTTGCCAACCATCCTGTCCTCCCCAATGAGGGCGGGCACGGTTCTTGGGCGACACCTGAGAAGATCCACGCCAGTCCTCGCGAACCTCGGCCCATATGTGCCAGCTGGCGCCTCGTAGAAGCTGATGTGGCGTGATGGGTCAGGAGGCACACTGTCTGACGGACAGTGGGCTGTCCACCTTGTTTCAAACACCGGCGGGCCGCTGCTCTGCGTCTTCGCAGAGCCCGATGCCACGACGGAGAGGCAGGATGTTTGCCTATGGCTGGTACCGCGCGGGTCGCAAAGAAATGCTGGGGGCACACGACCAGCTCCGCTCCGGAGCGCTTCGAGCCCCTTTATCTATATATATATATATATAATTATCTATATATATATATATATATAGATATATATAGATATATATATATATATATATATGTATATATATATAGGGTTTCGGATCGAGTCTTAGAGACATTGCCGACGACCCCAGTGCTAGCGCACGCCTCGCAGCCATAGGCAAAGCTGCGGCCGCTAGATCGCCAGCTTGGCACAGAAGGGCACGGAAGCTGCGATCCAAGGCCAGGGCAAGGTTACATTCTGCCAAGGCCCGCCAACAAACCCCTCTACCTGCCGACCTCCACAGGCTTTCGGCACACCACTCCTGCCCGTTGTACCGCGAAGCACAGAGACTGCCTATGGGAAAGGCTGGAAAATGGGCAAAACAGTGGCCAGACAAGCAGGCCGAGCAGGACTATGGATGGCAGGACTACTCTGCCTACTACAAGGATGCACCTGCCCGGCAACCTCGACGACCGCGAGAAGCGCAAGGGCCCAGCTTCCCACAGTACGATGCGATGGTGATCCGGGAGCACAGGAATGGCAGGCCAGAGAACCCTCCCTCTACCGGACCACAGAGTGCAGGAGCTGGCGATTTCCTCCGTACGGTCCAGAAGCTGACCAACAACCTACGCCGTGCGGAACTTCGCCTGAGAAAGTGCTCCGAGGAGCAGCACCAGGTGAACGAGAAATGGGAGTGCTTCCAGAAGGAGCTCAAACAGAGCTTCATGAAGGAAATGGTCGAGGTACCGCGAGTACAGCACCAAGTTACAGAGCGACCAGGAGGATGCAAAGCAGCATCAGTCGGCGGCCATCGAGGAGCTATACAAGTTCCTCGCCGACCCGACCCAGTACAAAAGCACCCCGACTCCGGATGCACCGCCGAAGGAGGCGCTGGAAGAATGGGAGCGTCTCATGCGAGGAGCAGAAGCAGACGGCGACGACGGCCTCTCTGGACTTTTGGCTGGGGCCCTTGGCGGAGCTGGGGCGCGAGAACAGGCGACCAAGCACATGCTCGAAGTCCTGAATGCCCATCGACGCGGACAACAAAGAGAACGAGAGCGTACCCCCCCTCGCAGAACCTCAGAAGCTCTACAGATGACGCCGCCGGCACCGACAGGGCACCCTCGCTCGCACCCAGTCCTACCGCCAGATGTAGGCTTGGAAAACCCGGACGTGGCGATGCGGCCCAAGGACGAGCCCTACTTGCCATCGCCGGGAAGCCGCCACCTGCTCCCCTCGCCAGGGCAACGAGCAAGGACAGTACATCCGAGGACTCCTCTAAAGGCCCAGGGACGGCAACCCCTCCAAGCTCCTTCCACGGCTTCCTCCTCTTTGGCGGCAAAGCTGGAGGGCAGCAGGGAGGCACTTCGCTCCGAGTTCCCGGGGCCAGAAGAGGAGAAGGTGGATGGCGAGGACCAAATTATTGGCAACCTCAGGGCAGCCAGTGGACCACCGGGCCACATCGAGATCGACTAGCTTCGGGCCGGCCGCCCGGGGAGGCGATCGTTGCTGACCCTCCTCGGGGCCAGATGGCTTGTTTTTTTAACTCGAGGCAGCCAAAACATCGTTCCTTTTGGTTTTGGTCTGCCGCCACGACAATGTCACTACGACGGGGAGTATACCATGGTTGTGGATGACCCCCGCAATGCTGCGAGGCTTTTTCGGCCAGTCCTCACCCAGCAGCACGCATACTTCTGTGGCCGCCAACTACTTTGGGGCGGACCTGATAAGGAACAGCGGACACACGTTCCTCTGCTTCCTTCAATCTCGAAGCCAAGAGCACCGCCTTGGCCTACGGCAACTTCCTTTGGGACTGCCATATGGTGGGACATCCTTGATGTCCAACACTGGGCCCTGTCATCCTGTTGGCAGCGGCTCCAGTATTTTCTAATCGGATGCGAACAATGTGGAGCATCCCTCTCCCTGCCCTTCTTCCTCATTGTCGCGATTGTGGAGATGATCGTCTTGGGGGCCCAGATGGTGTGGTCACGTCCCTTCGCGACCCAGCAAAGAGGAAAATGTTTCAGGGCAAAGTGGGTCTACTTTGTCTGTCCCCTGGCTATGTGTGCTTGCACGGCACATGCGGTCACTCCGGAAAGGCCACATGGGCAGGTTTGGTGGCCGGCCCGCCTCCCGCCACCAACGGACCTGGAACTATGGTGCAGTGGTCAGTTGACGGTGTCGGAGCAGCTTGCACTAGCACTCCAGAGAGCGATTGGCGAGCGTCCCCTGGAAAGCCAGGCGCTTTGGCCAGACAACATTGGGAGAGAAGGGCCCCAACCAGTGCCACCACCTCCGCTGCAGAGGGAAATCGCCCAGGAAGAGCCCGAACCGTGGCTCATCGACGAGGACGAGGAGGACACCACCCACATCTCCTTCCGCCTCTTCTCGCCCCACTTCGAGTCGGAGTCCATTGACATCTCGTTGACCTTCCCACTTGTGGCTGAGGATGTCCTCGACTTCCTCAAGGACACGGCGCGAGTCATTACAGCCCCCTGGCTCACTACGGCGGCCTTTACGCAGCCCCAGCTGCACAATGACTACGGCAGTGTGGTCATCCTTCCAAGCTGGCTGAGGGTTTCTCCACAAACGGTTTTGGTCCTCGATGCGAGTGAGATCGGACAAGGCCAGTTCGCCTTCTACCACAAAGGCGACCTCACAAGGGCCCATGTCCTCCAGCAACTTGAGGCGATCCCTGACTTTGCGATCGAGATCTTTGCATTTGGACGCCGAACCCCGATGACGGAGACAGAGGCCCTTGAGCCTGTCCTGGCTGGATTGATCAAGGTTGTCAGGAGAGGGACGCTGATACAATGGGCCTCAAGTATCGAGCCAAGACTCGCACTACGAGCAAATTGGGACCCGGACACCCCACACCCCGACCATGTGGGTGGGTCTCATATCGCTTTCCAGACCTCTACGGATCAGAAGCTCCACCGGGTTCTCCGCGATGACCTCTTCACCCCCCTCGGCGTGGCGAGCGAGATCTTCGATCGGGAGCAGCAGCAAATCTGGGTCCGCGCCCCTACGATTCGGCCTGTTGGTCTCTACTGGAAGGGTAGACGGGTGCACTCCGTCATTGCTGTCGTCGATGCCTTTGAACATCCTCCCATCGACTCCTACATCGTGACTCTAGATTTGCGAGGAGTTGGACTATGGCCGATTTGGGTTGCCCTCCAGCAAAACTGCTTCTTCCCGGGCGACGTCATTGAGGCCCTCGACATCCACTTCTGCCAGGGCTTCTCCTTGGTTGTTACGGGAGGGCGAAAAGGCCGTACCCCGGGCCTGCTCTACATCCAGGACGGCGACCTCCTCGAAGCTTCGCTGCGTGCTACGGCAGACATTACGCCAACCCAGCATGAAGGAGGAGAGAGTGAAGATGATGATGAAGAGGAGTCGGACAATGGCGACTCAGACTCAACTCGGGATGTGCTCCCATCGTCTGACGAGCTGCCAGACGCCCCCTTTCCGACGGGGCCGGGTCCTTTCGGCCCCCCACCACCACAGCCAGTAAATCGGGACCGAAGCAGATCCCCGGCGAGAGGCCATCCTGCCTCTGGAGTGCAACCCGAGATCATCTCCCTCATCGACCACTTCCCCAAAAAAGACGTGGAGTGCTACAGTCTCTCTGCCAATGCAATTGCGCTACCTCAGGCGGACTTCAACCCCCTGGTGATCTACAGGCCGTGGCCCCCGACATGGCTGCGATTTGAGACGTCCGGCCTGAACGTCCCCCTCTGCACACAGGCCGCACTGCAGACCTTCTGACGGCTGTGCTCTCTCTTTGTGCAAGCCACGGACCTCCTCATCTTCGGCTGTACACGGACGGCTCCTGGCTTGAAAAAGAAGGCCTCGGTGGCTTCTCGGTTGTCGTCGTGCTGGAGGTGCAGAATAAGTGTGCACTTTTTGGGGCGATCTGCGCTCAGACACATGGGAACGTTGGTTCCCCATGGCCACAAGCCGGCCCCCCGGCCCTGCGCAATGAGCAGTTTGCGTTGGCCAGTGCTATGCTTTGGGTGTTCCAATCCTTGCCCTGGATCGTGTTCGCGTCGATCACCATCTGCTATGACTGCCTAGCTGCTGGCATGGCAGCTTGTGGGGAGTGGGCCCCTGACTGCGAGATGATGCAGCGAATACGCCACCTGCAGCTCTGGCTTGTGCAGGTTGCAGGAGCACCAGTGGCCTTTGAGCACGTCAAGGCACACAACAACCACCCTATGAATGAGCTTGCTGACTGTATTGCTAAGGCGGCAGCAGGCGGTGACCTCTCAGGACTAGCCCCGCCTGATGAAGTTGTGGCCTTTATCCTTGAGAACAACCTCTCCTGGATGGCACCTGCTTTGGATCCCACTCAGCAGCAGGCGCTTCCCTTTCAAACTGGCGGCAGCCTACAGTGGGAACCGGAAGCCAACTTTGCTGCCTTCCAACTTCGACCCAGTCAGCTTGTCCCCACTACGACCAAGCAGATCGGGCGCCAGACCACAGCAACTACGAGCATTGAAATGGTTGCGATTTCCTTGAACGCCCAAGGCCTCCGCGATAAGTGCCGATACCTTGAAGAGCAGTTTACAGAGGAAACCTGCCACATTGCTTTCCTGCAGGAGACAAAGATGCCGGTTGGGGTCTGCACGTCTCGGGAGTATCTGAGACTGGGTACCGGCTCACAAACACTGGGGTGTGGGAATATGGGTGAGCCGAAGCCGTGGCCTCTTTACGACTGATGGACGGGCTGTACACGTGCAGGAACAAGACTTCTACGTGGTCAAAGAATCCCCGCGCCTCCTGGTGGTTGAGGTCTCCGTGGCTGGTCTACGCTTTGTGCTCTTTGCGGCCCACTGCCCACATTCAGGTCAAAAAGCAGCTGCTGCCGAGTTCCTCAGCGACCTCCACTCCGTGCTGGCCCCCCTCAAAGGTGCTCATGTGATCCTTGGAGGTATAGACTTGAATGGCAGACCGCCCGAATCCTACGAGCAGGTCACTGGGGAACTTCTCTTCGGCGACCCGGACGACACTGGCCAAGCTGCGGTAGCTATTTTCCATGCCCTTGGTCTCTGGATTCCGGCTACCTTCTCCCAGTTCCACCGAGGGGAATCCCACACATACAGGCATCCCCAAGGGCATCTTCACCGCCTCGACTTTGTGGTCCAAGGGGGAAAATGTGCTGTACATCAGGTGGACAGCAGAGTCCTCTATGGCCTTGATGTCGGCGGTTTGGCTGATGATCACTGGGCGGTTCGGTCTGCTTTCGCAGCCACCATCCCCCAGGCAGGTGAGCAGACCCGCCTGTGGAGGCCCAAGTATAACTTGGGAAAACTGACCAGCAAGGAGGGAAAAGCCAAGGTGTCAGAGGCCATGCTCGCCTACCGCCCACCGCCGTGGCAGACCCACCCTGATGAGCACTGCCACCACTTCACCTCCTATGTCCAAGGCATCCTCGAAGAGCACTTCCTCAAGCAGCCGGATGACCCGAGAGCTGATTACATCCCTGACAAGGTTTGGCACCTACGCCAAGCTAAACTTGACCTGAAACTTCGCACAAGGAGCCGGTCCAATTTGTGGGACAGCCTCCTCCACAGAGCTCTTCTCCAGTGGCGACATGGGGTCAACATGGGGGTTGAGAAGCTCCTGAGCAAACAAGGCATCCTCTACCAGCTTGCTTCGACAGCAGTCGTCTATGCCACTTCCCTGATCAAGAAGGGCATCCGCACAGCCAAGGCAGACTACCTGAAGAAGTTCGCTGCTGAAGGAGGGTCACACCCTGCTGACATCCTGTGCCACCTGAAGAAGGCTGGACTAGGGGGCTCCAAGGTGAGAAAGCCTCCTCGTCAACTTCCGCTGCTGCTGGACCCCGCCGGGAAGCCTGTCAAAACTAGACAGGAGCGCGACCTGTTGTGGCTTCGCCATTTTGGCAAACAGGAGCTTGGACAGGTTGAGACAGTCCACCAATTCCTTGCGAGGGACAACCACCCGGTCTTCGTCGATCAGGACCTGCATTGGCAAACGACCGACTTGCCGAGCCTCACAGAGATCGAGACGGTCATCCGTCTCGCGCCCAAAGGACGCGCCACCGGCCTAGATGGAATTCCATCGGAGATACTGAAGGCTGCGCCAGGCCCGATGTCCGCTGCACTGCAATCCCTCTTCACCAAAGCTTCTCTGATGCTTTGTCAGCCTCTCCAGTGGCGAGGAGGAATATTGTATGAGTGCTGGAAACAAAGTGGCAAGAAATCCGACCCGGCGTCCCACCGCAGCTTGTTTGTGTCTTCGACTGTCGGCAAGTGCTTCCACAAGGTGACGAGAAGGAAGATCCAGGGTCTCGTCAATGAGGGGCTACATGAATTTCACATGGGAGCGAGGAAGGGGCAACCGGTCCTCTTCCCGGCGGCAGACATCCTGTCCTTCCTCCGACGGGCCAGCTCAAGGGGTCTTTCTGTCGGCATCCTCTTCTTGGACGCCGAGGCGGCCTACTACAAGATATGTCGCGAACTCGCCACGGGCACCATTGAAACCGATGCCGTCGTTGTCTCCATCCTTGAAAGATTCCGTATACCCCCAGATGACCTCCACACGCTGATGCAAGAGGTCTCTGAAGGAGGGATGATGGCGGATCTGGGCGTCCCACCTACGATTCGCCACATGGCCAAAGACCTCCATGCGAACACTTGGTTCGTATCCCCGCACGGGGACGGGAGCCTCCTCTCGCGCACAAGTGCGGGAAGCAGGCCTGGCGAAAGCTGGGCGGACGTAATCTTCAGCTTCGTCTTCGGCAGAGTCTTGGCCCGGATCACGGAAGTGGCAAGGGGTGAACAACTTCTCGACAGCATTTGTGCCGACACTTCTGAAGGGCCATTCGCGGCTCCAGGCATGGGTGATGAGGCCTGTGCCAGTGACGCCACTTGGGCTGATGACAGCTCGTGGGCCCTTACGGACAGGTCCCCAGTTCGCTTATTGGACAAGGCTACGCGGCTCTGCTCAGTCGTCCTCAGCCAATGCCAAAGCTACGGGCTTGTCCCGAACTTGAAACCGGGCAAAACAGCCCTGCTGCTCCGCCTGTCCGGCAGCGGAGCAAAAGGAGCTCGGCGAAACTACTTTGCGCATGGTCGCCGCACTGTGCGACTTCAAGATGTGGCCCTGGACGTGCAGGTCACAAATCACTACAAGCACCTCGGGGGCATGGTTGATGATCGCGGCTACGGCACTTGTGAGGCCAAGCGAAGATTGGCCATTGCTGCCACTGCTTTCGACAAGGGCAAGGACCTCCTCTACCACAACACTACTATCCCCCTTTCAGTGCGTGCCTCCATTCTACAGGTTGCGGTGACCTCTACGCTGCACAACATCGCTTTGTGGACTCCGACGGGACCGCACTGGGCACAACTATGTGGAGGATATGCACGTTTGGTGAGACGGCTCCTGATGAAGGATGTCCATTCCGAGGCCCTACTGCACATTCCAGCCGTTTTCGCCTTTGTCGCAGCAGAATGTCCGCCGCTCCCCTTGGTCGCGACCAAAGCCAGACTATCTTTGCTTGTTTCGCTGGCAAAAACCGCCCCGGTGGCTCTGTGGGCAGCATTGCAGGAGGAGCAGAGCTGGCTGGACTTGTCATGGCTGTGCCACGGGGACGAAGACCGGTGGCCAGCCCTGGGTCCGGCACACTGGCCACAATGGCGGAGTCTCCTCTGCGATGCTGCGGTGTGGTTCAAAAGGCAGGTGGCGAAGAAAGTCACAGCAGCCAGTGCCGCCTACTACAAGGAGCAGCGAGTTGCACTGTCCTTGTGGGCCATCTACCGTAAAGCCTGGGAGCATTTGCCAGATGTGCACTTGCAAAGCACGCAGCATGTCTGCCGGCCTTGCGCCAAGACTTTCCGTACAAAGGGGGCACTGGGTGCCCACTTTCAGAAAACCCATGGCCGCTGTGCGAAGTACCGATCGGTAGTGAGTGGTACGATCTGCCACTCCTGTGGTGTCCAGTACTGGACGGTTGGACGTCTGGCCCGGCACCTGAGAGACACTCCGGCCTGTGTTGCGACTCTCCAGGCCAATGGCGCGACGGTCGATACGCTGGTCCCCGGCATTGGCAGCCGATTGCGACGCAAAGCCGACCAGGAGGAGTACCACCCAGCGCCACCTACGAAGGTTGCCGAGCAAGTGCAGCGGCAAGGCAGCGAAGAATGGGATGCGGTACAGAAGGCAGCCCACTTTGCCCTCAGTCAAGCACTGCAGACGGAGGACCTACCAACCGATGCGGGTGAGGCTCTCTGCCTCATCCAGAAGGTGTTGAAGGAGTTCCCGCTCTACTCCGACGAAGCCCAGGCGATTGTCTTCGAGCTCTCGAATGAGATCTCCCTGGTCGAGGACGAGCTTCTTCAGGAAAGCTGGACGCCGGCTGTCAGCTCAGCGGTCCGGAAGGCCGTTGACACCTTCCTCTCCACTGAATGGGAGATCGGGCGAGATGTCGAGGGACCGCGGGTACCACCAGTCACCTTTGAGACGGCCATGGGCGAGACAAAGGGCTTCGACTGGGTCACCATCCTCTCCCAGCTCGATGAAAAGTACGGGACCCGGCACGCTTCAGCTTTTACACTGCCCCCTGACTGGGAAGCCGAATGGTCAAGGCGTAGTGCTGAAGTTAGCTCTTCGGCCGTGCTAGAACGATTGTGGTGCTGGATCCCAAAGGTCTTACAGGAGGCATGGGCACACTTCCTAAACGGAGGAAGAGTACAGCTCTCAGGCCCTGCGGACTTTTGGGCGAGCCCACTTGCGGAGCCATTTCGAAGCTTCCGCTGCGATGTGCATACTAATTAGGCTGCGTACTTCCTCTGAACGCCTGCAAAGCAAATATATATATATATATATATATATAGATATATATATATATATATCTCTGGTGTGCTCCAACAGACCTGGCCCATGTCCTCCCGGCCCAAGGCTGCGCGCCGCCGGCGCCGCCACAGGAGCGCCCCCAAGAGAGACAGGAGCTTGCCACATCTGCACATAGAGTATGGTTTAAAGGTTTAGGGTTTAGGGTTATTTATATTACTAGTATCCCCATAATAAAACCCAATACATACACTCACCGAAATGGTAATATAAGCCACATCTGCACATGACACGAGTGTTACAATGACAGGATGACAGGAGCTCCTGGCATTGGGAAGCCGCACACGAATTTGTGAACTGTCTCTTGCATTCGCAACGGGAGATCAACTGAAACTTGGCTAAACAGGTGCCCCCTCCCCACACAGACGCGCGCTACAACACAACAATACAAGCAGCAGCCCCCAACATGCTCTGCATGCTTACGGCAAGACAGCTCAGATTGCAAAAGCGAAGCTCAGCACCTCCGTCGTAAACTGCTATGACTCCCTTGCCTTGGCACAGCTGCAAGCGAAGCACAAGGTGACAAACTTAATTTCCTGAAATCAAAGACCGGGAAGGACAGGCGCATTCTTCAAGCAGACGAGCCACAGAACCGTGGGCTGGCTCCCTGGAACATTCTGGCGCCGTGGCCACAAAGCCCTGCGCGAGACTTGCATTGCCATTCAATATCTGGGCAGCTTATCACTAGCACTTCCGGAAGCACCTGCGAGCTGTCTTCTTGCATGCCCGTGCCGGAGACCTGCGCTGGCGCGGTCGAAGTCTACTTCCTTACCTTTTTTGAACCCAGGCTCTGTTCCATCATCAGCTGGGAATCGGCAGCTAACTTCCTTACCTAGTACGACCTACTATATAAGGGGATACTGCCCAGCCACAGAGGCATCAGGCACTTTCACGGCAATTGAATTTTGAGGTGCTGAGCAAGAAAGAGCTGGTCGGTAAGCTTGCTTGAAAACTACGCCTTCTATGATTGTCCTTCCTCAACGGTCGTGGCTCGTGGCCGATCTGACAGCTTGCACACTTGAGAAATGCCACAGACGCGGAGCCTGGCAGTCAAAGCATGAAGGTGTTGTGGAGCTGCGGCGCCCAGCATTGCCCATCGAGTAGGGGTCAGTACATGAGTGGGTGGGACCTGGGGTGGTTGTGCAAAAGCTTGCGTGCCCGCAGCGCTGAGCAATGAAATTCCACTCGCCTAGCAGGTATGAAACTTAAGTTGGGCCTTCCCGTGCATGAACTTTGAATAACTGAGCTGCTAAGAGTCAGGAGTTGTCTCTCCACGGCTGGAGGTGGCAGTCAAACATCGAGCCGAACACGCTTCGGAAGGGTCCAGGGTGGGATGGTCAACAATGAGGCATTCAGTCCGGCTCCAGGGGGAGTCTGGTCAAAAACAACGGAGCCTCATCTTCTGCATTGTCCGGCAAAAGACTATGCAGTCTGACCTTTGCCCCACGCACACGACGAAGGCCGCGAGTTTGACGCAACCGACTGCTCTGCTCCTCGATGCCGATGAACCGATAAGGCTGTGACACGATGTCAAAGAGCGTCATGAACGGGAAGCCAATGAACAATGCAAGGGCTGCCTTAGCTCCGGTAAGCGAACTGGCAGTATCATGAACATAGAAATCATAGAACATAGAATTGTCGAAGAAAGCTGGGAGCGAAACGACCTTCTCAAGGTAACCAAGCGCTAGAGCATGGAAATTGCGGAAGATCAAAAACTCTAAGGTGCTACAACAATGCGAAGCACGCAGGAAGAAAGAGGTAATTAATGCAGGAACCTGATAGAAAAACCCTGGCCCTTTTGACCCGACGAATTTCATGATCCATATAAAGAACCCGAATAAAGAGAACCGCATGTAACCCTTACACAGCCCGTATTTCGAAGCAGTCCCGAAGCGTAAACAAAAATGATGATAGGGATATCCCATACATATAAAAGCCCTCTTATAATGAAGCCCAATAAGGCAGGTATATCCCTACAAAAATCCCTCGGTTCGAGGACCTCGCCCCGGCGAAGCTAAGCAGCTCAGGCCGCTGAACGAAGTGTGGACTCAGTCATCACTGTCAAAGGAAGAGATCTCTGTAGCAACATGGTGGGGCCTGTATGGGTCTAAAGGCTCTGTGCCCTTGAAGCTGGGTGGGCGGCCTGGTTGGCACATTCAAGTCCGGATCCGTCTGACAACAACGCAGGCACAAAGTGAGCTCGCCACAAGGCCGCGCTGGACAGCTGAAGCATGTTGATGCTCTCTCTATGCGGTCTATGCGGCTGTGAATCTGCAAAGGTTGCCTACAGCGTGACACACTTCCGAACTTCAGAACTTCATAGAGCCTGGATCGCCACTTGCACCACGATGTGTCCAACCGTCGCAATGAGACCTCGCAGAGTCCCCAAGCAGCCCTCGGCTCTTTCGGCTCCCCGGCTCCCCGGCCTAGTCCCACGATTTGCAGAAGCCAGGAGGCCCCCGTGAGCAGGGAGAAGGCAGTGGACTGGCCAAGAAGACCACTTTTCACAAAGGAGCGTACTTGCAAGCGCCACCGGAAAGGCGGCTCCGAGGTTATTTGTAGCAGCTTGCATGTGCTGGCAAGAAGCACACCAACAAAAGCTGTGCACTGAGTTCGACCTCCTGAGCTAGGATCTCGCGAACATGCTCAGCTGCCTGGCAGCGTGTAGCCAAATTGGTCTCGGGATGAGTTTGAAAGCCTAGCCCAGAACCCTCATCCTTATCACGTTCTCTGTCGATCTATTCGGGTTCTCCATGGTTCTCATGTTCTGCACAACCCATGCCGATCTGCAGATCAGAACCCGTGATGCGACCAGGAGTCAACAGCGGAGAGTCTGTGGAAATGATAAGGAAAGGAGACAGAAGTTCGTGGCATGACTCGGAACGGCCGAACCGTCGAGACAGTTCGTGACGGACGAAAGTCGGGATGCTGCACACAAAGAACTGATCATGTTGACCTTCGTATGGGGCACACAAGAAGAAGGCAGGGTGCCTCGTTGAATGGCATAGCCTGCAAGCTCACGTCCAAGAAGGCATGCCTTGGTCTCAGACACCTCTGCCGCCACCAGTCTGATGCAACGGAATGCTCCCTCGTCTCTCCTTGCTGAACCGCACACTAGATTCGCTAGATGTTTAAAATTTGAAAGTGTCGTATCCTCGATCTGGTCTCTGTTCTCTCGCACAGCTGTGGCGACCGAAGACAAGCACCGGGCCGCGTCATGTTCCCGAAACACCTCTCATAGACAGCCGGGCAAATCTATGCGGGTGCGTGGGAGACTGTGAGCTGTTGCCGGCCTGCGGTAGACGTTGAGGCAGCAATCGCAGCAACCCCCGAGGATGTTGCCGACAGGATTGTACTCACAGAAACACAGCAGCTCCACGGATGCAATTCCGGTAACTGCCATAAAGCTGTTTGCTCTCCTTGGATTTGGTGGCTGCATCTATCCAGCCCAAGGTGAAATGGAAAGGTGTGGCCTCAAATCGCAACGCAAGCCACTAGCATCAACTAGCCGTGCTGCCGTACAGTCGAAGCAACTTGGCGTGACACGACCATGATTTTCAAACCGCCCGCTATGATGCCTCACACATTCGCATGACCGGATACCGGCAGGTGGCACAGGTCCTCCCCTCGCATCGCTGTGCCAAGCATGGCGCTTCCCATGTGGTAGCGCACCGCCACCCAGCACGCCCTGGCCCAGAGAACCCCACAAAACTTGTGTACAAAAGGGCAACGCACTCATCTCGCAGGCCGGACCTGAAGAGTGAGAAAACCGGCGCAGCCCCCTGGTTACCTGCGCCAAGTCGCCCCGTACGAGGACAGCTGAAAGTGGAAGAGATATTGCTGCAAGGGAGCTCATGCCCCCTGAGAAGTACCACATCTGACCTGATGTTAAAGCAGGGAACGACAGAAAGCCAGCTGCGCACCAACAGAAACTTGACTCACACTCGGCCATCATAATTAGACGTGCTGCATCCCTGCCTTATCTTGTAAGAGGTGCTGGTTGCGAGACTGAGGCCGTGGCTGGTGTAGACCGTCACGAACTCGCAAAAGGCATAGATGATCCCTGCCACATCAGACAGAACGGGGCAGGAGCATGGACCAAAGACAACACGAAGCGTCTTTTAAGCATCTGCTGAATTCGGCCCCGAGGCCTTGCACCCAGATATTCATTAAAACGGTAAAGAGCAGGCACCTTGGACAGAAGATCAGTAATCCGAGCGCTGGGACGGCAATCAGACAACCGGGTTTAAGTCCAGAACATCCACTCGTTTGGTGAAAGGGAGAACTGCCGGTTCCCGCGCCAACTGGCGAACTCCTGCGGATGTTGAGATGCGCGGAGCAGAGCCTTTCAAACGAGAATGTAAGCAACGGCCTGGTCCACTACCTCGTAGTTCACCGACCACTTGTAGTTCGACATGCCTGAGGAAAAACGTCCGTACGGAGAGCTGGGAGAGCTCCTGGTAGACCCTATGCCTGCCGTTACCAGCAGCACGGCAACCTGAGCAAGCAAGGTACATTCGTACGAAGCGGGAGCAAGGCTGCGACAATGTGTACATGAGGCCGCGGCATAGACCCCCCACACGGTTGCTAGGCCTGCAAGCTTCGGTATGGAAGCGAGTGTTCGGAATCGACCATCGGATTCCGGGTCCGCCTCGCAATGCTACGATGATTGGAGGAGCCAAGAAAAGGCTCGGCGTGTACAAGATGCACTTGCAAGACCTGCCCAGACCGCCAGGTAGGATGGCCAGAAGTGGTTGGACTCACCGTGACGCTGAGCTCGCAGCCACTGAATGAGCTTCACAGCCTCGCGAGCCGGTTACAAGCAGGGTCACAAGAGAAGACGGAGTCCTCATGAAACTCTGCGGAAGGCAGTGATGTCAGAGCCGGCTTTCCACTTAACGGCCACTCCCAGCAGCAGCAGAATGAAATATAATGAACAAACACTAGGACTAGGACCAAAACAGTACCAAACCAAACAGACCAACCTGCGAACTTGAGAACCCTGGCTGACGGCTGGGGGGCCCATGGGGGCCCGACGGTTTCCATCCAAGCGCTCATCTGACAAGCCAGGCAAAGGAAGAATGCCCTGGGACCAAGGCAGGCAAAGGCGGCAGCAAGCAACCCCTGAGCCACCGAGATCCGTGCCCAACTACGAGGAGGCCGCAACCTGCAGCGAAGTCCTCGAAGTTACGGTGGGAGTTTGGCAGAAAGTGGACCAGGGAGGGCGGGAGCGTTGGCTTCTGAGTTGTCCTGGTTGCTCTGTGATCCGGAGCCAGCACAAGTCTCACTCCTGGCAAGTCAGGTTCGCCAAACCCTAAGCCGGGAAAGACCTGTTTTGAAAGACTCCGCAAGAGCTGTCCTGGCAGCATCCGGACTGGCGCACCTCTGCTGAGACCGGCCCGTTGTTGTTTCATGCGGGCTGCAGCCATCGTCGTTCTATTGGGCTCCAGATCCACAGCCCAAGTTCAAAAGATTGAGTGGCGGACCAGAAGAGATAGGCGGAGGTGGTCCCGCAAACACCCTGACCATCACGAAGCTTTGAGGCGAAGTTCAGAGTACGCTTCCCAATGGCATGGCTCACGGGTGCATCTCGACAGAGCTGGAGGGTTAGAGCCCGGGGGGTGGGCATGCGCCCAGGGTAGTCAGCTATACCCCAAACTAGCCAGCGTGGCAATGACCACGAGGACTCCTGTCCTTAGGAAGTCTGCAGCTTGGTTGCAACACAACTGCGCGTTGCCGCACTGGTCTCTGATGCCCTTCTTTTGCACACAGCACCACATGTTCAGAAGGTGCTCTCGAAGTTCAAGCAGACTCTGCCTCGGCTGTGCTCTGCATGCATCTTGGTGTCCATGTTTGTGTGTGCTTTTGCTCCTAACCTCATGGTTACCTCCAACTCCTTGGCTCTTGTATTACACAACTGCAACTTGAAACATCTAATCTGCTTGGCTCATCACGACCAGCTCCATCCTCTCCTGGGCCTTTGCAGCCTTCCACAATGCTGCGCAGGGGGCAATGTGGAACTTCCAAGCAGCCTCTTCCTCCTTGGTTGCTTCGGTGCGGATAGATTTTCTGGGGCGCACCATACACATATACACATACACTAAACATATGAGAAAAAACAAAAAACAGACACACACACACACACACACAGAGACGCTATCACGTCAGTTTCTATATATATATATATATATATATGCGATGTATACAGATACAGCTTGTCATTATGCGTGTGTCTGTGTGTGTGTGTTTAAAGTGCAACAGGAAAGGAGATTTATGTGCATATGTCTCTGCGCATGTTCACACCCGCACACTCCGAGCGAGGCTTGTAACGACGGTGTGTCTCTAGGGGTTTAAGCTAATTTTGTAGTGTACACTTTTACCGGGGTCGTGGCTGATACTGCAAGTGGTGGGTTTAGGCTTTAGGGCTTTTAAGGGCCTGTAGGCTATCGACTCGAAGGAAGCAGGATCGAGCCGGGCGTATAGGCTGCACTTCGGACAACCTGCTGCTACCCAGACTGCTGTTGCAAGAGAGACTCCGTGTCCACGGGAAACAAGCGTGGAAAGGGCTCGAACAGGAATGTCAGAAAGGGCAAGCTGTCCTTGGGTCCGGCAGACAAGGTCAGTTCCATTTTGAACCGTGAAGTAGCTATGCATGCCCTGTAAAGGGCACCGACATTCAGCTCAGCCACTGAGCGTGGCAAGTGGAGGTCCTTCGAGACCTTGTGAACAAAGGGAGTCGCTATGGGTCTTAGTTACTTCCTCTATTGCTTGTCTGGGCCGAGGCTTCTATGGCTAGGGCTTCGGGTACTAGAGCCTCAGGAATTCACAGTGCTGCCGAACGGCCCAGGAGCCATCCTCCAATCGGATGCAGGCTTCCAGGTAGTAGTTCCCAAGGAAGAAAGCAGTAACCGCAAGAAGGAAGCAGAGCCGGGCAGGGATGATGTAGCCTTATTCACTCGCACAGCAAGAACTACAGCCGGCTCTCTTGGCAACTTGTACTCCGAGCCACCATAGAAACCCGGTGAGAACCAGTTCCTGATGCGCAGCGTGTTTGTCCACGCTTGACAAGAGCTGCACACATTGCATAGACTGCTTCTTTTCTTGTTCAGCACCGCCATGGAGAAGGGATAGCCGCCTTTTCCCTTGATCATGACTGGGCCCTTCCTTGAAACTAGTTGCCTGCCGCAGCACCCCACCCCGAATCAGGACCAGCAAGGGCAACGAAAGCAGCGGCAACAGCAGCAGTGGTCGTCATTGTCGTACTGTGGCATTGGCGCAGCCGCAGGTCAACGTGCAAATGTATGTTCTTGTTATGCCGTGCTGTGGAGGTGCACATGGGGTCACGTATGAGACCGGCACATGTTTCGTGGCTCATCCTCCTCGTCTTGGGTCCAGTGCTTGAAGCAACAGTATCGCGATTCGTGGACGGCCTACTGGCAATTACTTTAATTTCGCGGGCTGTTAAATAAGTTCAGCCTCCTGACAACAGTCCAAGCATCCAACGCTTGCCCTCCTCGTGCAAGACGAAGTCCTTGGAGGTCAGCGCAGGTGATAATATAATGTATACCAAGCTGCCAAATACAGATACTAAATATGTTGCAATACACGCCGAAACCAATACAAATTAAACAAGATCGCAGGGAGTAGCGCAAATTGCTGCATCCCAAAACGAGAGGGTCTGATGTAAGCGTACATAATCGAAGGTGCCTGTCAACGGTCCCGTGGTTCCAAAGGTCACAATATTCGGCGTTTGGTCGGTTGAACGTGAAACACCTGTTCAAGGATGGTTGCAGATAACGCGTGGGCATACGGCCGTTTAGGGTTTGGGGCTTAGTCCGTTTAGCTGTCCACGTGCTCAGAAGTTGTCTCGTGTGGCACTCTAAACCTTGAAATCTTGCCGAGCGATGTCGTCGCCTCAGCGCCACGCAGACCAACAATTAATCGAATCAGGCTCAATGCAGGTAAAGCTCATCTTGCAAAGAGATCTGTTGCGGCTTGGCTGAGGGACAGCCCTCCAACATCTCCTCAATTGCTCGGGCTACGGATGGATACAGTGAAGGAACGGCAACATCTCTGACATGTTCCTTCTGCCTCAAGATCGGCTGTGTGCGTCATGTGCTGCCTGTTGCGGGTGGCAAACTATCCAAACTAGAGAGCCTCGAAAACGCTGTCTGGAACTGTGGTCGCAATGTTTCGACTCATATTCAGCACAGCCGGGCATCGACATCGGTAAACACCGAATGCCGCTCATGTTGGGGGCTGAGTATCCTAGCCCAAAAAAATTAACCTTTTCAATTATGGTAGGGTTATAGAAACCCAAAAGGTTGAAGCTAAAGGAGCTACTAAGTCGTTAAGTCGGTGGAAACAAAGCAGGAAGCGCTCTTCAATCTCGTAGGTGCAGGCAGGCTTCAAGAATAGCTTTGGTTTGATTCGGCAGCATCGACATCCTGCAAAGGAGTTCAATCGAAGCTCGGTTTCAGTGCCTACACATGCTGAAAAACTGGCACCAGGGTCATCAACACGGATGTTAGAAGCAGCGGTCGTGAGCTCATCCAGGTTCAGGATGAACGCAAGTGCGACGCAGTTGATGATCATGTCCTTCACGTGCGAAGCTAGCACGCAGAACTTCCACAACTGCCAATCTTAAGCCTGGATCTGGGCTGCCATTGCTTGTACTGGCAATGCCCCAAGCTACCTACTTACGACCTCGGGCTGTCGGTAGCTCCTCTATCTCGGAAGTCTCCATGAGAAAAACGATCCCGATGTCAACGGTCAATATCCATATGTACCTTGTTGGTCTTACGCACCGCTCTTTCTGAAGTGTGCTCATGTTCAGAACTGCAATCAGACCTACAGTTGCTTCAGGGTGGCCAACCAAAGGAAAGCCCAAACTTCATTTCAGCCCTGTCAATTGAAAGTGAGAAACTACCAACTAACTACCAGCAAACATGTTTCTTGGACAATGCCTAGGAAACTTCTAGGAATATGTCATATTCCGCAAAAGCGGTGACATCATGGCCGATACGGCTGGTAGGCCTGGTCCGGAAAGCTGTCTCCAGCGAGTTGTCTAATTGAGAAACAAACCCTTATTGATATAAGGATTACGACAAAGGTGTTACTACATACGCACTGATAAACGGAATAAACCCAACTCTGCAACGCAAGTGTATCGGCTTGGCATGCCCATGCCACTTTAACGGAGGCAAGCTTACATGTAACTTACATGCACACCACCGGTCACGACCCATGAGCCGTGCACATGTCTGGTTTTGGCAAAGAACATCTTCGGGCACAGGATCAAGAAGAAGTTGATGATTTTCCTGGCACGACGCGTACGGCGGGAATGTGATTGGACTCTAGGGCGTTGCTCTCCCTCACCGGTACTGTAGTGATTGCAAAGCCTTACGAACTATCTCCCCAAAACTCGTGCTTTCATGCAACGAGCAGCCAATGAAGTGGAACACCGGCGACTCCTCAGGCTTGTTCAGACACGTGTTATGCTCGGACCTTCTGGTGAGCCTGCTCTACGGCGTATGCTATGCCGAGGCAGGTGTCGGAATCGAACAAAGTCCATGCGCCAGTCATCGGGATTGTCATCACTGCGCTCTCGTTTGCGCAGCTCCTGCAGCACTGCGTGGACTCAAACATACCTGGCCGGTGATGTACTTCAACGTCATGTTCTATGACTTTGGGGCAACTCCTCTCCTCCCAGTCTGTCTCCATTATCCATGGTTCCGCTTTCGTCGGCACGCCGATCAGGAGGGCCAGTATGTCCTGAGCTTTGAGATGCTTTGAGCTACTGCCGATTCTGTTGCAGATGACGCCTGGTCCTGGACCACAGGCAGGATGCAGGACAAGCTCATGAATCCAAGCAGAAAGCTGCGCGCACTGCAACATTTGGATTGGCTCTGCTGCGAGGTTTCCCAGGAGCCAGCCAGATCTGGCCACAGACCCAACACGAATATGAAGCAGCAGATCATTCGGAGGTAGTAGCCTCAGGTGTGCTGTGTTCGTGTGCCGATGCTTGAATATCGTGAGCGGCTCTTTTTGCTGCATGAATCTTCCGGGGAGATGGACGCAACTTCGGACGTTGCATGAAGCCATCTTACGTATTGGCACGGTGGGTGTGGCGAGTGGCCAAGGGGAAGGCACCATGTAGAGGAGAAAGATCGAAACTCAAACTTCTGTGATCACACCCGCTAGAAGGCACAGCCTCCGGCAATGAAGGTAGAACGTGCGGGATTACTTCGGAGGCCAACGGCTCAAGCGGAGGAGCTCTCAAGGCCATATTCTCCGGGATCCACCATCTCCTGTAGCAGTTCCGTGGGCGCACGACTTGCCAGGGCCCCGATTCAAGCGACCTAGCCACCCAAGCCCACCTCGATGTCCTCCGCCCTGTCCTCGGGATGTCAAACACGGTGCTGTAACTGCGTGGCGGCGATGGTGACTCGTGCCCGAGGCCGAAACCCGTCTACACCCTAATGACATGGCTCTTCCATCACTCACCAAGGTGCTGGGAACAGAGCCTTGAAGGAGTCCCGGACGAAAACTCGCGTCGTCCAAAGCTTCCAATCGTACAGACGCTCCTTACTTCGCGCAACGGCCAAGCCCTGTCGAACCCAGCTCATAACAAGAATTGGATGATGTACTATGTCACTGCCTCATACAGCTTGTATATCGGATCTGAATCCAGGCACATCACACACACACACACACACACGCAAGGCACAATGTCTTCGGTCGGGCGGCCGACAGAAAATTACAAAAAGCCATAGATGCATGCCCCTTTGCTTTAGCTGCCGCCCTTTTGTCGACGGGTCTTTCTGTTTCCGCCTGGTTCGCAAGTTGTCCCCCGCTTCCTTCCTTCAACACCAACGCCCCCCACCATTACCTTTCATCTTCTGCAGTCACAGTCTGTCTTTTCCTGCCGCGTGGTTGCCACGATGTTCGCGCGTGTTGCTGGAAGCCCTACATCTGACAATAGCAGGACCCTACCCGGAACATCAACCGTCTGTTGGCTCCTGTGCGCATCGAATAGACCCTAACCCGCAATGCCATATGACAAAAAGTAAAACAGTGTTGAAGATTCTCCAAAGCACGGGCGTGTAAGCTGTACCACCAGGTCCGATACAGTTCTTGCCCTCTGGACACTCTCCAGAGTGCGCGCCTCGGATGGAGCAGCGAAAATCGACGACAGCCAAGTGCGTTTAACTCCGCGATCCGAGAAAGCTGAGCTTCACGGTGCAAGGATACCGGCGCACGTGTAGCAAGTGCCAGGTTCGAAGCCGAGCATCCAAAGTCACAGAGGTGCATCTGTCCTCCGAACTTGTCCTCACTTAACCCACGGGATCAGGACAAGTCTTCCGCGCAGAGCAGCACATACGAGTGGCCACGAACAGAATCATGGAACTTTCCTTCCAAACAACCTTATCCGTTATCCTGGAAGCTTGGACGAAGCAGCGACCTGAAAGATCTGAATCAGGTCGAGACTCCAGCGTACGCAGCTCCTTTGACAGCATGTAAAGGAGAAAGCCTTGAAGAAGAAGATTCGTCAAAAGAAACATCATGCCTCGGAAACATTCGGAAACCATGGTGTGAGGTCAAGTGGTTCAGTGTGTCGTTTTCTTAACAACACAGAAAGTCGTCGAAATTCTGCGACGGCGAGCAGATGCCGAGTTTCTGTGGCAGGCAAGGCTTGTGTATTCCAAGCTCCATCCCGCAGTGCGAGCGACCTGTGGCAAAGCCAGCGCTGCTCCGTAAACGGAGTCGTTCCTCGGGCACTTGCTCTCGTATCCCGACTCGTTGATACTGAAAGTACGGCTCGACGCTTCTCAAGATACGCTTCCAGGCTGACGAGTCTTGGTTCCGACTTTCAGCTGCATACTTGATACTGCTGATCTCGAGGCGCGAGCTTCTGCATGCTCCTACAAACGGCATGCGCAAAGCAGTAAGTGCTTGAATTGGCAGCAGGGAGGCTCAACGGTGATCAGCAACCTGAACGAGCAGGCGCTGCACTGCCGATCGAGGGGGTCTCTGCCCGTCTGCCCGTCACAAAGCTTCGTTCAAGCGAGCAACTTGGCTTTCTCGTTGAGAGTGCGCAATGCCCTGCCCGCGAGGACTTGTACCTCGTGGTGCACGAAATGCCTTCTCCATGTGTAGCGGCGTAGCAGAGCCGAACGGTTCTGAGTGCCCAGCCCTCTGCTCCTGTGGCGTCAGCTTCTTCCACTCCTGTGCTTTCTCAAGAGCTCAGAAAGAAGCTGAAGGAGCCAGCCTGCGGCCTGCGGCCTTACGAAAAGGTTGCGGAAACCAAGGCGCAATTTTGACAGACTCGGATGCCCCGACGGCCGTGCCCTTCAAAGAGCTCTGTGCAGCGCTGGGGTAGTTCTGCAAGCGCTGCGATGAGCCCGAACCTGCCAACAAACAGTTCACATGATCCAGCACCGGTTCTTCGACATGTGGCAAGCTGCACGTGTACAGTGACAATGCATCTGAGATTCTGCCATCCTCCACATCATCAAGGCTCTCCTGCGATACGCACGCTCGAAGCTGCACTCCGACAAGGCAAAAGACACAAGACGACAAGATGAAGCGCGGGTCGCACAGAAAGCACAACGTACAACCTCCTGGTCGCTGTCAGCATCGGGGACGAGCTTGTAGCCATCTTTCCTTCTTCATGAGACGCCAGCATCTTCCACTTCACCACTACCACTGTGGTCTGCTAGGAGTCTTCTCAGACTCTTACTCAAGTCTGAACTTTCGACTCCGACTGGACGTGCTCCATAAGGGAAAGCATGTACAAAGCGTACACCTTCCTTGCACTCGACAGCAACAGTTCCGGATCCCCAAACTGCAGGCTCGGCTGCAGCCAGGCGTCTGGTCGGACATTCAGGTGCTCCGAAACTCATTCATATTGGCAGCACGAGGATCCGGCTCATGAGCTACATTCTGTCTGCTGCAGCGGCTTGGTGCGCCAGCTGGTTTGCGGTAGAAACGACTGCAACGCCCATCCGTCCAAACTCCTTGTATTGACGTATGCCCGTCCATCTGTCTGTCCGTCTGTCTGTCCGTCCGTCTACCTGTCTGCCTGTCTGCTCTCTGTCTGTCTGTCTCTGTTTATGTGCGTGAGTCTTTCTGTCTACGTGCTGTCTTGCGTAGACTGGTTTTTCAATGTTGTTCCACTCGTCGTGCTCATGAGCCAAGCCTCCTAAAGAAACATCTGTGCCCAGCAAATCACTCTTATCAACGGGTTCAACAACAGTCCCGGACATCACTAGATATCTGAGAGCATGGCAAAACTATGCAGTTCGCCCCCTCCCTGCTGAGTGCTGCCTGAAGAGCGGCGCAGTCAGGCAGCGGCATGACATGTCGCTGTGTTGTAGACAACAGCTCAACGTACAGACACAGCTTCGGATACGAAATGGGTGCGGCTCTGAAGGAACAGCTGTGATCCTGGCAATGAAGAAGTAAGAGGCGATGAGGCCCGCAAGGCCCTGGTACGGCAGGACTTGCAATGAGGCGAGCTTCTGTCCTTTTTCACGTTGAGGTGTAGATTCCAGATATTAGAAAGCTCTTTAGGAAGGACATGCGGCATGCAGCTTGCCATCTTTACTCGCAGCGCCACGTCATCACCACAGCTGTCAAGTTGTCCCCGGAACCAGCCGCAAATGCATGCCTTACCTCAGATGCAAAGGCGCAAAAGTCCAGCCAACCCCACATGGAACACACCTCTAAGGCACAGGCCAATGAGTGGGAAGCCAATTCCACTCCGGCTGCGCTTGCACAAACCGCTGCTGCGTCACTGTCCTGCACACTGGCGTCATGCAAGCGCAAGTCAAACTTGCGCTTGAAATCAGCGCCGTCTCCTGAAGTACATCCCAAACACCGTCGCATGCAAGGACCAAGAAGCGATCTACCTGGGCTGCACGTGTTCTTGTGTGTGGAAAATGTTCCGTTTTTGAGTCATGAGCGAACTCCACGTGTGTTCTAGAGATTCTAACGGATGTTTCCATTGCTCCTTTGGACTCTCAACTCGGAGAGGTGTTGCTTGGGCAAAGGTCTGAATGTTCTGACATCGACCTCTGCACAACCGGACGGCTACCAGAGTCCTTTGCGTTGGCTTGCAGGGTTGGTTGCCTGGCTAGCTGGCGAGCCAGCTAGCTGGCCAGCGGAACAGGCGGTCAGGTCAGACAATCAGTCAGGCAGGCACGCAGTCAAAAAGACTCCATCAGGCAGGTACTTGTTCATTTGTGAGTCGGCTAGTGAGTCAGTTGGCTAGATGGATGTATGGTTCGCTGGGTAGTTAGATAGCTCATCTTCACATATCCCGGCAACGACGACGACTGACATAAGCACCAACACCACGAACGTTGCACTGAGCCTGGCACTGCAGGGTCCAGCTCCACCACTCGCAACTCCGGCTCGGCTATGACCAAGCCGCCTCGGACCTGGATCAGAGCCATCATCAGCATCAACAAATTTAATCCGAGCCCTCGTTGCCAGCAGAACGTGTATCTACTCATGTTGATGCTCATTCGCGTCGAGCTGTTAGATGGCGATTCAAGCTAAGCTGACTAGCAAAGTAGGATGGTTCGATCCTGCACTTGCAGTCTGGATGGGGCGCCTGCGAACAGCCATAGTTCTGGGGCTCTTTGAGTAGGAGGTCGCCGAAGGCTCGAGACACTGCAAGGCCCCAGCGCGGGATAGCACGGCCTAAAACAAGCAAGAAGCACATTGTCAAGCTGCTCAACAGAACGATAGTGATTTTTGATTTTGTCTTAGCTATTTTACCAGGCCACCTCCAAAGAAGACCTGCGACGGGCAGAAGACCCTCCAGACGCCGTAGAGGTCCACCACTCCGCCCAGAGCTTCAATGCGCTGCTGCTCATCAGGACGGTTGGGCTTGTGGTCCTGTGACAAACAACAAATGGGTGGTTGTCAAAATTAGGGTCCCGTTTTGGGTACCCTAAATATGAGGTGACGTATTATAATAGGTACCCAAAACGGGACCCTAATTTTGACAAACAACAAATAACAAAACCCATCTTCGGCCTGCCAACCCCTCTTGCACCAAGCTCCAAACCAAATCCCCTCGTTTTCGATGAATATGATATATAACATGACATGACATTATGTGTATATATATATATATATATATATATATATATATATTATACACACACACACACACACACACGTACTTCGTCATTCTGTTACAGGACCGCGCGATATAAGCTTTTTTGGTCCTCGGAGAGGCGGTAGGCTTGGAGCGGCTGCGGGGCAGCGGGGGGCTCTTCTTTGGCCGCACGACAGAGCACCGCTCGGGAGTCACCCACGTTGGCCACCAAGAGCCTCCCAGATTCAGGGTTTAGGGGTTTAGGCGGTTTCGACGCTCAAGGGTTTTAGGGCTTAGTGTTTAGAATGTTTAAGACAACTTCGGCGGAAAGGCACTGATTCTGCATGCTGGCGTCATGAAGGTCTTGTGCAGTGGACAGGCCTGTAAGCGCCGCCTGGCTCGGCGTAGACTAAAGCCAAGAGCAGGGTCGATCCGTCCATCGCCTCATGCTGCCGCGCCCAGCAAAGAAACCTCGGCAAGGGGTTTAGGTTTTTTTAAGGTTTTTTCTCACTCCTACCTAGCAAGGACGAAGCCCGCATTGCAGGGGTTTTAGGATTTTAGGGTTTGGGGTTTAGGGAAGCAAGGAAAGCATGGCACGTCAGGGCAGGCAGGGGCCCGGGGCACTAACTTCAGAGTCTGGGAGCTCCTCATCCACCAGCGCACAGGCCTCCAGGACGGCATCCCGAAGATGCTCGTCTGTCAAGTTGGGCTTGTTGGCCAGTCTCGTCTGCAAGACTTTCGGAAGCCTGGAATGGGGAAAGAACACTTGCGCAAGGGAAGAGCTCGACCCGAGTTTTCGTGGTTTCGACATGTCTCAAAGGGTCGGGTTCAGATTACTCATGACTCGCGATGTCCCCACGGCCTGTCGGCCAAGTGCTCTACGCACCGATGTCCAGAATGTCCATCGAGCACAAGCACTCCCGGAACCGGCAGTCCATCTGCTGAGAGCAACTCCTTGGGATTGGGTTGCCGTGGCAGCTCGCCCATGCTTGCGCTGACGATTCATAAAAGTTAGGCTTCTCGGCACCCTGAAACCCATGAAACCGTTGCCGGGGTAAGTTAAATCATGCCGGGCTTGCATTGTGATGTCTTCAAAGCTATGACGATGATGACGATCTGCTGCTGATGAAGCTGGAATCAATTCAAGTCAACTCAGCCGCAACTAATCCTGCTGACCAGCCCGATCTAGTCCGACTTCCGACTCTGGCACTTGCATCCTGCGACATCACGCGGCGGCCACTGAAACCAAGGCTCAAGGTCAAGAGCGAAGCGATCTTCGTTCGTCTCTTTGCCGCCTTGCCAGCATGCCTCAAGAGGATATCAGAGCTCTGGGATACCATGACCCTCACACCAGTGCCACCACCACCATGACCTCCCGCACCACGTGGGGAAAGCGTACAGAGCAAGTCAATCAGAAAGACGCACTTGAGAGAGTCGCCGCTGATGATACAGCTGTGTCAAACAAGCACCGTAAGGGATCTTCCTGCAAGTTTTTCCCCGAAGACAACCCGTGAACTCTAATTACCATTGCCACCACTCCCTGAATCCCAAAAGCTGAACGCAAAAATGCAGTCGCACAAAGGCGGTGTTGGAAGCTTCCTCACCCCTCTCTGAGGCCGAGGCAGCTCCCAGCTCAAGCGTCAGGTGCCCCACCTGCTGCGGCTTCGTCTCTGACATTCGGCACAGCCCGACATAAAATCGATTTCCAAACTTTCGGGAGTTCGGGCTTGTAGGGTTCCGGGGGGGTTTGGGAGAATTGCAGCTCCAGGGAACTTCATGCTGCCAGCCGCAGACACTGATACTTTCTTCCTTCCTAATCGCGTTCACGTGCTATAATAAACCAACCAGAGACAAGCTGCACCACAGCCACTAAGAATGTCACAGGGTCATCCTGGTTTCAACGAGGCCAGCCGTCTTCGTTCTTGCCTTCAGCTCACGGTAAAGAGGTCGCAGTTTCGGCTGCTTCACATCAGCCTGAACAGTCGCATGCTGTCGGACATGAAACAGAACCCATCGTCTAGTCTCTGTCAGCCTTCAATGAAGTGGGGCTGCCTTGACCTTGTCTTGCACTCGTCGACTTCAACATGTGATTGCTGTACTGCCCGTGAAATATGTACTCTTAGAATGTACAGCATGCAACGCCTGCTACGACACGCAAACCAGCACCGAATGCAGGGACGGGATCACAGCCAGTGATACTTTCTCATGTTGATGCGATTCTCGTGTCCACCGAGAAAACCGACCCCCGCCTCCCACTCCGCACTCTGCAGGTCAAGTAGGAGTTACTCAGGGGACCCTTGGGGATATAGACCCTCTCAATAAGGTCCCTTGAAAGAGAGCCACGAGTAAGGTTAAGAAGGGTTCCCTTCAAGGGGGGTCTCCCTAGTACAACCTTGGGATTCGACGCTCACACTCGCACTCGGCAGGCAAGGCTCCACATAGTCCAACCTTGGGTTTGGGATTTGTTGTTAATATACCCCAAAACCCTACTCTATTTATTAAGGCCCCCATTTTACATCCTCATCATAGCCCTTATAGTGGCCTTTGTAGACCCTTAGTAAAGGAACCCTATTCTAATTATGAAGGACCTTAAATAAAATCCATATAATTGGCGGCCCTTATAGACCCCTTGAAAGGAACCATAAGGACCCGGTATTAAATCCTTGAAATAGGTGGCCCTTGTAAACCCCTATAAAGGAACCCTAATCTAACTAATAAGGCCCCTATATTAAGTCCTCAGGCCCTGATAGACCCCTTTAATTAAAGGAACCAC